TTGTTGGTCCCTCTGCAGATGTGTTTGGCACTACAGCATTTGATCATTCCTTGCCTGTAGGGAAGCAAGAGCCTTCAGACACATTGGTTTTTACTCACCAGGCGCTGTCAAGCCAAGCCAGAGTGCAGATGATCACAGTCAGGCCAAACAATCTGCCTCTGCCCAGCTTCTTGTCAAAATCTCAAATGCACTTTGTCATCCCAGTTTCTGTGGTGTGTGGACTGATGGCTGGCAGTGTTGTTCTTGTATGGCTGTATCTGAAATATGGAGTCAAACCAGAAGAAACGTCAAGAGAAATGGTGCAGGGCTTGCTCTACCAGCAGACAGGGCATCAAGACAATGTCTATCCAATGGAAGTAATATGAATGCTTCATGGCATGGACATTTCTGGCCTCAGCTGTGTGTGTGTTGCTCCAGAAAAGCTGTTCATGATGAACTGGTGACCGGTAGGAAGCAAGCCTGGGAATAAAAATCGCAGAGAAAACTGGTTTTTTGATGGGGCAGAATGCCCAATAATGTATCTACTTCATCGTTGACCACTCACAGTGTTCTGGAAATAAGGGAGACACTTCTTTTCCACTGGCACTATTCTGTACAAAGGCTGTGGCTGTTCTGTTGCTGTTGGTGGCTCTTTGCCAGGTGATGTGATTTTCCAAGTCACTCTTGGGAATTCTCCTGTGGTTCCTCGTGGCCCAGGCAAGGAGCCACTCACCCACCCACACTGCTGGACTTGGGCTCAGCCACCTTGAGCAATCTCTGCACCAAACCCACACAATTTGCACTTAAACTCTCTGCTGCTTCTTCCTTTGCACTTCAGGTCTCTGCTTTGCCAGACCAAGCTGAAGCTGAGGCCAGCGGGGTGCTGGCTCTCCTTGGGCTGCTGGACTTTACTTTCATCATTTTCTCTTGCTGGAGGCACGAGGGATAGCCCAGCTTTCCAGAAATAGCTGACCAGCACTGCATCTGATCAGGGGACTGAAAGTCAGTGCTACAGATCTTCTGTTCAGAGAAGCTGGCAGTCCACAGTCCATCTCTCCTTGAAATCAGGCCCTTCCTTTTAGCAGCTGTGGGTATTTCTTCTTGCAGATGGATTCTGAGCTGTTTCTTGGCAAATCAATGCAATAAATCCCTTCTGCCAGCTGATGCACCTTGTGCCCAGCTGCATTCATCACCAGAGCAGGAAAATGCTGATGAATCTTCACAAATGGGAGAAATCAAGAAGCCACCCAATCATTTTGCTATTCCTGTGTTATCACTGGAACATTTTTGCTCTTCTCTGCAAGCACAAAACCCAGGAAATGTGGAGCTAAAGGCAATTCTGGATGTAGTCATGAAGGAATTACTCTACCACAGCAGGCATAACATCCTTTTGATCCCATTTTCTCTCCAGAAATAAGCACATTTGTTGATCCATTAAAAAAAGCACAAAATGCCTGTTCATGGTCCTATAGTTCAGCCACATTTCATTTTTTCCATTTTTGGATAGCACTGATCACCAGGCTATGGAAGCACTGTAACAGAACCAGGCTTTTTTAAACCCCAAATTGATTTTGATTTTTACACTTCCTGACATTGCTGTACATAAGTTTATGTTTTATCTGGGGTTAAGTCTTGAAAGCCCTTATTAAACTTTGACTCCAGGATGAATTCTGCTGGAGTGTGCAAAGGTCTTCATGACGTGATGCTTTGTAAGTAGAAACATATCAAGGGTCAGATCCCACCAACCTCAGTGGATCACATCCCTAAGTACAAATATGCATGCAGAAAACAAAAGCAAGATCAGCAAGAAAAAAGGCAAGAAAATGATAAGCAAGATCATCAGAAATGATGGGCCAGCTGTGAAGCAGAGCTGAGGAGTGTGGCCTGTTGGATCTGCCAGGTTGCACCTTCAGGGCATCCATCCAGCCCTGCAGGGGAGAGGACACACTACAGCTGTGCTTCTTTCTGCCATCACACACCCCTGACTTCTGCATTTTGTTGACTTGAGGGACTCCTCTCCTTTGCAAGCACGGGATGCAATCAGATTAATTTCAGTGATTAATTTGGAGTGAAATCCTTCCTTGTGCAGCAGCTCAGCTGTGGAACTCTGGCTGGGGTTGGTTTTCACATAGGTTAAATCTGACTCTGCCAGTGCCACCTCCCCATGCACAGCTGGAACTGGTGAGGTGATGTATTATTTTTATATGAAACACTAGAAATGTTATTTTTGTAAAAAGGTTTTATAGCTTTTTGAATGTATGTAATGTCCTGTCTGAGCTGCTTGGAGCCGAGACCTTTGTGGCAGCACTGGGAAACACTGTGCCTTGTCTATGTTGTTGCTGGTCTTGGACAGCTTGTGCATGTCCCTGGGAGCTGGATCACTGCCCAGGCCCTTCAGCAGAGTGGACACTTTGCAGGTGGAGTGCTGGGGAGATGGGTGTGCACCAGCCAGGTCACTGGGAGTCCCACCAGTCCTTGGAAGGAGCTCCCAGCTGCTGTGATCCCACTGAGCTCACCAGGAGCAGCTGCTTCTCCAGGCTGGCCCTGTCCTGGTGCTTTCCCTGCTCTCTCTCCTGTCCTGGCTGTTTGCAGCAGGGTGCTGGCACCCTCACAGGGCACAGTGAAACCCAGCACAGGGGGACACTGCTGCTCCTCTGCAGTGGGCAGTCTGGGAGGGAGGGAGGAGGGAGCCTGTGGGGTCACCCATTTCTGGGGGTTAAATACCACTTGCTGTAGAGCACAGTGACTGTTACAAGCTCCAGTTTGTTTGTACATTGAGTGTGTGCATGAGATATGAGCTGTACATTTTTATAGAAGTCAAAGTAATAAAGTCTTTATGTTAAAAACTTTCATGTCAAGCTTTCAACTTTCAAGTCCTTATGTTAAAAACTCAGGGGATTGAGCCTTGGGCTGGGTTACCAGGCCTGGTCCCTGCAGAGATGAGCACCCATGACTGAGCACTGTGGAAGGCATCCCAGCACCACCAGGAGATGGCAAAGCTGGCACAGCTGGATGTGGCCAGGCCATTGCTCCATCTCCTTTAAGGGTTTTGATCTTGCAGGTGTTGGCAGGAAATACATTTCCCCACAGGGAGTTGTGTCTCCCACCTTACCAAGGCAATAGAGAAAAGTGGGTTTTTGTATTGTTTCAGCAAAGCTAAGGTCAAACAGGAGCTCAGAGACAGCAAAGGCTCCAAGTCTGTTCTGTAAGGAGACAAGAGGGCAGGGGCTGAGACAGGACCTCTCCCACCCCAGCCAGGGCTTGGGCTGCCCTGTGTGCTGCTCTGGAGCTGAGAGGTGGCAAGAGCAGCTCAGTGAAAGAGGCATTTCTCAGGGGTTTGCCTGGACTGGGGAGCTGGCAGGAGCAAGAGGGGTGAGCTCTCAGGAGCTCTCATCCCAACCATCTCTCAGCCCTGTGCCTTTCTAGGTGGGTGCAGAAGTCAATGAAAATTTCCTGCTGCTGAGTCACCAGGCCAGAGAGGTCATTTGGGGGATAATGTAACTCTAAGGAAGCGAAAGCACTTTTGTTTTTCTTATTTCATTTCTCCTCTCCTTTGGAGAGGCAGGCGAGGAAGGAGGGGGCTGAGAAACCATCCAGGCCTGACAGGGTGACTCATTTCCCATCATTTCCCCCGGGCAGAGCTGGCCCCAGCAGGGCTCTCTGGGGCTGCTCCTCTGGAGAGTTTGGGTGCCCCTGGGCTGTGGGTGGCACACGCTCCCTGGCTTTGCTGGTGTTGGTGTCTGGCTGTGCAGGGAAGGACCTTGTGCCTCCACAAGCTGAGCTGCAGCATCTGTCTGCTGCTTGCTTAAACTCTAGGAGCTCTAAAGGGCTCAAGGTTGAAAAAAGGAGCCTGAAGTCCTCATTAAGCATCATTTCCTCTGATTGCTGCTCCACACAGAAGCCTCTCCAGTGCAGAGCCTCCCTCACACCCCAGGTTCATCCTCCACTTAACCCTGAGGTAGTTGTTTGACCTCATTGGCTAGAAATGGAAAAACGTCTCATTTTCAGTGTGTTTGAGGAAGCTGACATCAGATCTATTATTTAACCTTCCTTAGCAAGATAAGGCCACTTCCAGTTTCGGGTGCAGGTGCATTGACCTGTGCCGCTTCTTGGCTGTCTTTGTGAGGGCTCCTGCATGCCCACAGAGAGTTTCTGCTCTGTCCCTGAGCCTGTGGACGAGCTTGCCCAGGGAGTTAGTGCAGGCAGAGCCTGGGGCAGGGCTCCTGGAAGGCACAGAGCTGTTGAAAGGCTGCACAGCCTTCCTGGAGCCTCCGTGTCGCGTGATGTGGGCAGAGCTTCCCTACAGGATGCAGCTCAGCTCACCAGCTCACAGCTCTGGGTGCTCCCCAGTGTCCGTCTGTAGGAAGAAGACTTTGGAAGACATTCCCATTTTTCTAATTTTAGAGTGTCTTTCCAGGCTGTGGGACTTGGCAGGGCTGTTCCTGGAATCACAGGGATTTTGGGAAGGAAGAAGAGAATCACCTTTGGTTTGTGGCTGTGTCCTGAGTCAATCCCTGGAGGGAGCACCCCAAAGAAATGGGAAGGAGCTTTGCAGGCAGAAAGGGTGAAGAGGGTTTAAAGAAGCCAGACAAGGAAGTCTCATCTTGTAAATGGAAAAGATTCAAAAGTGACTGAGTAGAAGAGAAGAAAGCAGGGAAAACTTATTCCCAACTCTCCCACCACCTCCTTCCCAGGTGCAGGATGCCTGTGGTTGTTTTCCAGCACAGCTGGGAGTGCTCAGTCACCCACTGGGACCCCAAACCCAGCTCGGGGCTGTTCTGCCCAACTCCTCTGTCCCCTCTCTGGCACCACAGCTGGCAAAGGCTGCATCTGATGTGTGCCCTCAGCCTCCCTCCTCCTGCAGAATAACAAGATTCTGTTATTTTTTTAAACAAGCACATTCTTCTGAGTCTGCTCAAGTGAAAGGAAAACTTGGGCCAGCAGAGGGGCTTTCCAGCACTTAAAACTCAATGTCCACACACCAGCCTTTCCCTTGTCAAAGTGAAAAAGAAGAAACACCAAAAGTTCTCCAGGGAGTTGTGAATCATCTGGCTTCTACAGACACGGCTTCAAATCCTGGGAAAAGGGAAGCAGAGCATCTCAGGCCACGTCTTGGGCCAGAAAATGAAACACAACTCTTAAGCAGGAGCTCCTTAAGGTCCATCCAGAGCAGTGGATCTTGAGCCTCCATCAGCAAGAAATGTGTCTGAGGAAGCTGGGCTTGGGGAGCATGACCAGAGCAGTTCCCAGCACTGGGTGGTTTTCCTCCCAAATATTTTAAAGGGCATCCAGGGATGACAGTCCGAGGCACAATATCCTGCTCCAGAGTGTGGCTGGGAGGTGCCAGTGTGAAGAAGGGTTTGAGGTGGCCCCTTGGTAGCTCACAGGGAGTGAGGGAGGACTGTGGTGCCAGGGGATCTGCATGGCACCCCTCTGCTCCAAGCATCCACTTAGAGTCTGGTTAAAAAGAGGGAAAGGTGAAAAAAGTGCCTGAGCTGAGCGTGACTGGCAAGGACCTACAGAGGGGCTCCTTGGGCCTCCAGAAGGGCTGAAGAAAGGGGAGCCCAGCACAGGGGGGAGAACTGTCCCCAGGTTAACACAGAGGGGCTGACCCCGTCCAGCAGGTCCCTGCAGGATCTGGGATGCCTCAAGGCTGTGGAGGGAGGAAGATGATGGAAATACACCCAAAACCTCTGAACAGTTATTTTTCCATCCATTCCCCTCAGCCTGACTCCTGCCCTGCAGCTGGGGCTCAGCCAGCCCTGTCCCCAAGGAAAGGCTCCACTTCCCCCCCTCCTCTTTCCCCCCTCACTGCCCAGTTATCAACAGGGATTTTTGATGGAAATATTGGGTTCCTCTCCACAGCACCAACATGGAATGGGATGCAATTTCTGCCAGTATTTGCCAGCTTGCCCCTTTCAAGGCACAGAGGGCTGGTGGCAGCAGCAGTCACTGTGCTTCTGTTCAATGCTCTCCAGGACTCACAAGCCATCCAGGCATCTCCAGCACATTCTGCTGGCTCTGGGCTGCGTGACCTGGCACGGGACACCAAGCTTTGCCTTTCCTGTGGCTATGAATCCCCTCTCTGAAGGCCCAGGAGCTCTTGAGTTTGCATCTGCAGAGAGGAGGATTTCACTTCCTTCGTGACTTTCCCTGTGTGGGTGAACACAGAAGCTGACACAATTTATTTTGCCTTTCCAGGTACTGTCTGTCTGTAATCCCAATGACCCTACGTGACATGGAAATCCCCACGGGCTATGAACTGGAAGCTTTTCCCGGAATTAGGTTCAAATGGGAAAGGGATAACTGGGGAGGAGCAGAGAGTATAAATTGCAGCAGCTCCTTGCCTGAGCTCAGAGCTGAGCTCCCCCAAGGAGGCAGAGCAGCATCCTGCAAGGAAGAGCCCTCCCGGAGCCACCATGCTCACTGCAAGGAGAGTCCTGCTGCTGGCTGTGCTCCTTGCCCTCTCACCGTGCTCCCATGAAGGTAAAGCCCCTCGTGGGCCCCTGCTGCTGGCTGGGACTCAGGGCTGCCCGTGGGGAGGTCAGGAAGGAAACCCCTGGGCAGGGCAGGGCAGGGCAGGGCAGGGCAGGGCAGGGCAGGGCAGGGCAGGGCAGGGCAGCACATCCTGGGCTGCAGGGAGGGATGGGGGATGCTCCTGGGGCTTTGGCAGAGCAGCACATCCTGGGGTGCAGGGAGGGATGGGGGATGCTCCTGGGGCTTTGGCAGAGCTGCTGCAGGGCTGGGTGAGGACCTGCAGCATCCTTCTGCCCCGGGAAGGGAGGAGGAGGCACCTGGGGCTCCTCATGGCAGCATTTGCAGAGCCTGGGGGATGTTGTGTGCACCAGCCCTGTCCTGGGGGAAGCTCCTGAGGGCAGCTGCCTGCAGAGCCAGCCCCACCGTGCCTCTTTGTGTCCTGCAGCCCCTTACAGCCCAGCCGAGTGCTGCTTCGACTACATCAAGGGCGTGCTCCGGCTGGATTACCTGCTGGCCTCCTACTCCACCCCCAGGGAATGCTATTTCCCAGCAACTGTGTAAGTCCTGCTCCCTACTGTGCTGTCTGCTGGGCTGTCACAGTTCAGTTCTGCTCCATCTGGGGACAGGACAGGGACAGGTCTGTGTAACCTCCTTGTTTCCAGCATGAAGAAGGGAGGTCGTGACTGTCTGGGCACTTCTGCAAGGCCAGTGCAGCTCCTGAGGGCTCTGAGGGGCTCTGGAGGGGTGGGGTGAAGGATGAGCTGCTTGTAGGGCACCCAGAACCCAGGGGCAGGCACAGGGACAAAGGGAAAGGGGAAAGGGTGCAGGGGAGGAGGATGGTGTGGGTGCGAGTGGAGTCACAGCTGTCACTGCTCACAAAGCTTCACCTTTACCCTTGGCAGGTTTGAGACCAAGAGAGGAGCCAAGGTCTGTGCAAACCCCGAGGAGAAGTGGGTGAAGAGAGCAGTTAAAATGCTTCAGAAAAAGAAGGAACTTCACAGCCCATGATGCAGAGGGGGTGCCCTGGTTGAGGCTGCCCAGCACCCTGCTGGAAGGAAGGTTTGCAGCGCCCCTCTCACAAGGGGTTAAGGCTGTTCAGCTCCTGGGAGAGAGCCCTGACACCCCCAGAGCCCTGAGCTGCATCCACAGCTGGGCAGCAGCTCCTGGAGTGCTGCTGGCCCAGCCTGCACCTGCCTGCTGACACAGACACAAAATAAACTTTATTGTGTGATACTGGAGAGTGGTGTCCTTTCTGCTCCCACTTTTCTTTCTGGGGCTGGCTCTTCCCTCTGGGTCTCAGGGCAGGAAGGGAGGGCAGGGATGGGACTTCAAGGGAGCCCTAAAGGGGCTGGAGACTCCTCTGAGGGGTTTTAGGTGCAGAACTGCCATCAGTTTCAGGCTGAGGTTTCAGCCTGTCCTTTTGCTGCCCCGTGGAGGAGCAGAGCCTGTCTGTGCCCAGGCCTGTGGTGTCTCAGCTGGGCTGCAGGGGAAGCTTTCCCTGGCAGGAGGGACAGGCAGGGCAGCTGAATCACACAAGGCATTCCTGCACACATCCCCTGCCATGGAGAGCCCAGCAGTGACCCCTGCCAGGCTTTGGGAGGGGGAGCAGAACTGGAAGGGCAGGAGTGAGGAAAGTCACAAGTTAAAGACAGGTTAATAAAGCAGAACTGGCACACAAGCAAAGCAAAAGGAGGGATTATTTCTCTCCTTCCCATGGGTGGGCAGGGGTCCAGCCAGGGGGAGCAGAGCAGGGCTCCCTCACGTGTAACAGTGACCTGGGAAGACAAATGCTGCAACTCTGAACGTGCCCCTACTTCCTCCTTCTTTCCCTGTTACAGTCCAGTAAGGGGGAAAAAAAGGAGAACCAACCAAAGAAAGAAACCTATCCAAAAAACCCATGCAGTGATGAAGAAACCATCTTGCACTGGCCCAGATGATGCTGAGCCAGTCCCTTGTGCCAGCATCACAGCTCCTGGGGAAGGGGATTTTGGCAGCAGCAGCTCCAGGGATGTTTTCCCAGCAGAGCTGAGGGGTGACCCTGCCACGCTGCAGGTCTGGAACCTGAGGTGTCAGGCACCAAGACCTGGAGAACTCTGGGTGCACCAGGAGAGCCTGCAGCCTGCAGAAGCCTCTTGAGCTGCTGCCTTGCCACTGCAGGAGTCCCCAGGCCATGGAGTCTCTGTTTGCTCGGGCTTGGTGCCCTCTCCTGACAGCTGTGGCTCAGGCACTGGCATTTACCATGGGCCAACAGTTCATGTTCTCTGATAAAGAATCAGCTTTGTGATTATCCACTCAAAACCCAAAGCATTTTATGAGTCAGACAATATTTCCCACCTCTACAGGTTTTTTTTGTTGTTGTGGTTTTTTTTTTTTTTTTTTTTTTTTTTTTAATTTTAAAATTTTTTATTTTTTGGGTCTGTGCCTATCTGCTTCAATTTCTAAAGCAGGGGTTTTCCTCAGTCAGCAAATTTGTATTCAGTTATTAATTACAGTGAGGTTGGACACCCGTAAAATCCTCTGCAGAGTCTGTACCCCCTCTGCTCTCCACTTGCCTTTGCATTTGCCTAAGCAGGAGCTCCACACTGGGACAGGGGCTGTGCCACTGCTGGGGATGGCTCAGGGGGGGCTGGGAACACCCCAGGAGCTGCAGAGGAGCCTGGAGAAGACTAAAGCCAGACCCAAAGGTCCATGCTGGGGCAGGGAGGGAAGCCCAGTCCTCCAGAGCCTTGAGGAGCCTTTCCAGGCCTTCCAGCATCCAACATGCACTGATTTCCTCCATGAAGAACAGACTGTGGAGGCATCTACTGATGCTTCTGGAGAGAGGAATAAACAGCTGAGGGAAAGGAGGAGCAACTGTGTACCTCAGACAAGGCTGGGAAGGGAGCTCAGGGTTGGCACATAAGGTTTTCTGAGCCAGGGGATGCTGGCTGGGAAAAGTCATTAGCTCAGTTCTCCCTTAATTACAGTCGTGTGCTCTTAACCAGTGCCCCAGAGCTGGAGTGAGCCTGCTGGCCCCAAGGGTCTGTGCACTGGGGATGGGCAGGGAGGGCAGGAGAAGCTGGGGGTGCTGCAGAGCCCACGGAAGGGGACTCTGGCTGCTCTGTGTCCTGCCTGGGGACAGTGGCACCAGCACCCAGTGGGGCTGTGCCCAGCCCTGTGTGCCCCCCCTGCCCCATGCAAGGCCAGCAGACCCCGTGGCCTGCAGACCATTTCTTCTGAACCAGCATTTTCAGCACATTAGATCTGTTTCCTTCTCCTTTCTCCTTTCAGAGAAGTCGTGCAGACATGAGATAATCTTCAAAGAAACCCATTTCCACCTTTCTTCCCCTCTGGGAGCCTTGGATTGATTGCCTCATCCCCCAAGCCACAGCCTGGCCCCTGCTGTGCTCCCACTCAGCACCACCCCATGCTGGCTCCCTGCAGGACCTCACCTCTTCACACACAGCTGCACCTGCCCTGCCAGGGAGCAGATCCTGCATGGCAGCTGGGCTGGGGTGCAGCAGTGCTGCCACTGGGGTCTGTGCCCCCTGCCCCTCCTCACTTCAGTCCCAGTGCTGCTGTGGGAGCCAGGGGCAGCACAGGGGCTCAGGCTTGTGCTCAGACCAGGCTCTGCTCACACTCCCCACCGCCCCTTCCCTGTTTTTTCCCCTTCTGTGAAATCTGCTGAACCCACCAAAAGCACCTCTGGCACCCCCTGCTCCGGGGTCCCTGCTGGATCAGTCCAGTGTGGCTTCTCCTGCCTGACATCCCATCCCATTGTGCTTTCCTGCCTGGCCCAGTGCTCTGTGTGCCCAGGGTGGCTGGGCAGGTTGGTTTGGATGGATCCATCACTGGCCTTTGGGCAAAGCAAATAAACCCCCCTAGACCTGTGGGCTCAGGGACTGTGGGTTGTCTCTCCTGCTAGAAACAAACAGATGAGCCCTGGACTTGATGTCCTGCTTACAAGGGAAGATGGTTTTGATCTGCTTTCAGTTCCTAGAAGCTCCCTTGCCACGTCACGGCTCTTCCATAGAATGCAGAACTGCCCCTCAAACTTTTCCACCCAAAAATAAACTGCAGAAAGCCCCTTGACCCTGGCTTCTTGGTACACCTCTGAATTTTTGGAAATGCAGCCTGAGTGGGCGGCAGGCAGAGGATAAATGGGACAGTGGGGAGAGAGCCACAGCCACAGCCACCGGGCAGGAGGCACAGGGGACAGGAGGAGCCAGCACAGCCACCATGCTGCCTGCGAGGACTGTCCTGCTGCTCACCCTGCTGCTCACCTTCTCCCTGCACCACGCCTCAGGTAAGGAACCTCAGGGGCTGCTGCTGCTGCAGGAGAGGGCTCTGAGCCCTGGGGACAGCCCTGGGGACCAGGGACATCCCACAGGGGAGGTCAGGCAGGAAAGGCCAGCGGGGAGCGGGGATGGTGCTGCTGGCAGGAGCAGCAGCTCCCTGGGCAGGGCAGGGATGGAGAAGGTGCTGGGTGGTCCCAGCAAAGCCAGACCTGGGGACAGGCTGCAGGAGCTTGGAGGAGGCTCTGGCAGTTGTTCCCCAGGTCTCAGCTGGATGAGCAAGGGGGTGGCTGGAGGGAGAACATGCAGCTGTTTGGAAAGGGACAGTTTTGGACTGCAAACAGACTGTTTGCAGTGTTCCAAAACACCCTGCAAGTTGTGCTCCAGCCTTGGAAAGCCCCAAAACCTCATCCCCAGACTCAGCACCCTGACCTTAGTGTGTGCTCTGGGGGCTGCAGCAATTTGGGCAGTGAGGGGCCAGGTCCCTGGCTGTCCCCTGCCCCACCTCTGTCCACGTGCCTGTCCTGGGCTTGCTGTGTGAAGGGTGACAAACCCCTGCCACAGGATGCTATGGGAGCTGCTGAGGTGCCCCACAGCCCCTGTGCTGCTCCAAACCTGGGGGTGCCATTGCCTGGTGATGCAATTCACAACATCCCCTTCCCTCCTGTGCACAGCCCACTTTGCACCCGTGGAATGCTGCTTTAAGTACGCCCAGAAACGCATCCGACACCCTCAAAGCTTCTACGTGACATCCAAGGACTGCCCCCAGCCTGCAGTTGTGTGAGTATCCCAGGCTTTGCCCCCCATCCCAAATCTGGGATCCCAGATCTTTTCCTCCCCCATCCCATCCTGCCCCACAGGCAGGCTCTGTCCCAGCCAGGGGGGGCTGTGGTAGGAAATCAGCTCTGGGGGGTGGGCAAAGAGGGGAAAAAAATGGGTTTTAGTGTTTTCTGCTAATGCTAGTAGTGTGGGAAGGCTCAGACACTCACCATCAGCCCAGGAGGGCACAGGCTGCTGGAGATGGCTCCAAGCCTTGATCCTGGGTGGGGCTGCAAAAAAAAATAATGCACAGAAAGGGAAGGGTTCATGGTTCATGTTTTCACTCTTTTTCCTCACTTTCTCATTGCAGGATTGTGGCTGCCAATGGTGACGAGATCTGTGCTGACCCCAAGAAGGACTGGGTGAATAAAATCATAAAACGGCTTCAAAACAAAAAAGATCCATCCAGCATCTGACTTGCCCATGCAGTCTTCCTGCCTCTCGAGGGAGCCAGCAGGGCTGGCAGCTCTTCTGCAGCGGGTGCTGCACCGTGGGCAGGGCAGGAGCCCTGCTGAGCCCGGCAGGGTCAGGAGTCACAGGGCCATGGGGCTGCCAGCTCCCGAGCTCCTCCTGCTGTCACTGCCCTGCCACGATGTGCTTCTGGAGCAAATATTTATAATAAAGACTCATTGCCACAAGTTGCTGTTTGAACTTCTCCTGATTCTCCAGCCCAAGCAGCAGATCCTAACAAAGCCAGGGCTGGCTGCAAGCACAAAAAGCCTGTGCCACAAGCTCGTGTTTCTGCAGGAGCAAACTGTGCCTGGTCACAGTGTGCTTCACTGGCAATGTGACAGTGGAGCCAGGACCCATAGGTGAGGCTAGCTCACCCCCAGGCAGAGCTGTGCATCCTCAGGGCATGCTCACAGCCCCACGGGCTCTGCAGGTGCTCCAGAATTAAGGGGAGGGTTCTGGGAGAAGACACTGATCTGCCAAACCCTTAATACCATGACAGCTTCCAAATGTGCTGGTGGTCACTGCAAAGTGACTGAGGGAGATAAGGAACAATGTCCACAGTGCCAGGAGGGTGAGGACACAGCCCCTTCAGCTGGACAGAGGTGTCCTGGCTGCCTGGCCCTCCACAGGAAGGGTGGGAGCAGGGTGGGATCAACTTCTGATTCTTCAGACCAAGCAGCAGATCCTAACAAAGCCAGGGCTGGCTGCAAGCACAAAAAGCCTGTGCCACAAGCTCGTGTTTCTGCAGGAGCAAACTGTGCCTGGTCACAGTGTGCTTCACTGGCAATGTGACAGTGGAGCCAGGACCCATAGGTGAGGCTAGCTCACCCCCAGGCAGAGCTGTGCATCCTCAGGGCATGCTCACAGCCCCACGGGCTCTGCAGGTGCTCCAGAATTAAGGGGAGGGTTCTGGGAGAAGACACTGATCTGCCAAACCCTTAATACCATGACAGCTTCCAAATGTGCTGGTGGTCACTGCAAAGTGACTGAGGGAGATAAGGAACAATGTCCACAGTGCCAGGAGGGTGAGGACACAGCCCCTTCAGCTGGACAGAGGTGTCCTGGCTGCCTGGCCCTCCACAGGAAGGGTGGGAGCAGGGTGGGATCCCAGACACCAAAACCAGGCTGCTGCTGGCCCATCTTCTCATGGGAGAGCTGCAAACAAGGGAAAACCTCAGAAAGGCAAAAGCAAGGAATGAGGCAAGGAATTAGGGTCCTCAGCCTAAAGCTTCATCAGAGTTTTATGCTCAGGGCTAGAAAACACTTCAGGGCTGTATTTTCTAGGACACTGAATGGCACAGGAAAAACATCCCTAATGACATTTTTGCCCATGAACTGTAAGCACATGGGAGGAAGCAATGGTGGAAGGGGAAGCTGAAACAGAATCAGATACTGGGGACAAACACCTCGAGGTTTGTGCATGCCCTGTCAGAGGGGACACAGCCCTCCCTGATGAGCAGAGACTGACAAAGCACACGGCTCCACACTGGCTCTTGCACATGGATGTGTATTTTAATAAAAATAATTCTGTCAATATACAGCAGAATGTCGATTTCTTTACCATATTTCCAGTATATTTTCATAGGCTTTTTCTCAGTTAAAATCCAACCCCCCCGAGCCCCTTTTTTGAAGTTTTCATGCGAAGCATCAGATAACTTAATTCACAAATACTAAGCGTAGACTGAACCAATGTGCAGAGTTTGTGTAACGTCCACGTAGCCAATGTTGTACCAGAGAGGTGGAACTCCCTCCAAAGGCCTGGAGGAGCCCGGGGTGCACAGGGGGCTGTGCCCAGCGGCGGCCGCTCCTCCAGGGCTGCCGGGAAACCTCGCACCCCCTGCTCCAGCTGGGCATTTCATACCTGAGTTTTGAGCAACCAGCAGGAGAGGAGAGTTCACTGTGTGCTGGGCAGGTCCTGGGGCTTGCACTGCTGTGTGTGAGAGCTTCAGGGGCTGCAGCCTCCTCCTGCCTCCCCAGCTGCACAGGCGGGACCGAGACACGATCCCGATCCAGCGCCGGTGCAGTCCTTGGTCTGGAAGTCACCATATGTGTGATTTTCAAATTTTCTTTAAAATCTGGATTATCCCCAGAGCTGCTGCTGCTTCTCTTTTCTCCAAGTCTAAGCCTGTGAGAAGCCCAGCATACAAAAATCCCTCTGTGCTCCCTTCTGGAGGAAGGATGTGGCTGAAGTCCTCCCGAGCAAAAACGTCCAAGCACACCCCTGGATCCAAGTGGAGCGACCAGAGAAAGGTGTCTGCCTGGCCATGGGACCTTCAGCAAGGAGCAGAGGTTTGCATGGCTTCCAGGAATGTTTCTGTGAGTGTGAATTCCACACAGGACTTGTGAGTTTCCTGCGAGCAGGAGAGTTAAGCTTCCCTCCTGGAAATAAAGAACTGTGTGCTCCTCAAGCCTGGATGATGCCCTGGCTTGCTGGACACTGCTCCAGCTCAAGCTGCAGGCTCTGAGCTTTGGTTTGGGATGTGGGGAGAGGGACAGACATGCCAGGTTCACTCATCCATCACCTGCCCCCTCTTGTTGCAGGGAAGGATGGTGGAGAGCAGCTAGTGCTGTCTATACAAGAGGTCTCCAGGCTCTCAACTCCTCCCTTTTCCTCCCAAATCTGCTGTAGCTGCCCTCACACAGCCCCAGCAACACTTCCTCCAGCTCTGCCCCTACACAGCACACGGGACAAGGCTCACAGCCAGCTCTGGAGCTGACCAAGAACTGCTGGATTGCAGTTCCCTCCCTCACTCATCCCTCTGGGGCAGAAGGGTCCCAGCAGCACCCAGCACGTCCCCTGGCATGTCCCCACACAGAAAAACCTGTCCCCTGGCATGTCCCCACACAGAAACACCTTGGGTACAGCTGGAGACCCAGCACTTGCTCTTCCTGCCCCTCCACTGAGGCTGCTCTCACACTGGCAGGGCTGGAAGGAAGATGCTCCCCTGCAAAGGGCTCTCCTGGGTGGAACAGGAGCCTTGCTCCTTCTCCCAGGCTGTCACCAGCTCCACAGGACCTCACTGCCCCAGGACTGGAGTCTGAGGGACCTTTCTCTCCACCTGCTGCCACAGGACAGGTCAGTCTGCACTGCTTATGGGGAGAACTTCCTGATCCCATGTGGTGCCCCACACAGCTTCCTGGCACTGACACACTGCTCTGCAGCCTGGCTGCCACGGGTCACCTTCTCCATCAACCCAGGGCAGCAGAACTCTGTCTGAGCAGCATGTGCTACATGTTAACACAGACAGGAACCAAAGCACAGCTGCAATCCAGCCCAGTTTGCTTTGCTGAAGGAGATGTTCATCATCCCCTTCTCCATCAGCCCAGGGCAGCAGAACTCTGCAAGGTGTGTCTGAGCAGCATGTGCTACATGCTAACACAGACAGGAACCAAAGCACAGCTGCAATCCAGCCCAGCTTGCTTTGCTGAAGGAGATGTTCATCATCCCTGATTCCCAAGGTGGAAAATGGCACATTTTCCCTAGAACCTAGTTCCCTAGAACTACCTCCAGCACCTCTGGTTGCTCCAATTTTTCAAGGCAGCCTCAAGAACAAAGCTATTTAAAGAATGGTAAAGATGCCTTAATAAAATGTGAAAAACAAGGACACAGCTTGAGGACAGATTGAGATGTCACTGTGAAAAAGAGAAGGAAGGATATGGGAAGATCCTGGGTGTAAGTAAACATGAGGAATGATGCTCCCAGAGGGGCCCATTCTCCATGCCAGCCACAGCTGCACCTCCTGTGTCCAAATCCAGTGGGCAGCAGCACAGGGAGGACCACCAGGTGCTGGAAACAGAAAGAGGCTGTAGCAGCCATCTTTCACCACACCTGTCTCACATCCCAAGGCAACAAGCTCCAGCTTTGGCTCCCTTGGGCTGAGGGACAGCACCCACTGGACAAGCTCCCCTGAAGGGCAGGATGCTGTGCACTGCCCTGTGCCTCTCTGCTCTGCTGGCCACACACGGGGGCTCAGCTCCCACCAGACTCCAGAGGAATGGCAGAAGTGCTGCAGCTGGTGGGTGGCAAAAAGGGACTGTCACACGTGGACCCGCCCCTTTAGCAGGGCAGAACAAGCCAGGAAGGGCAGGTGGAGCTGCCACATCCATGCTTGGCACAGACATGAGGCACAGAGCTGGCCCTGGTGTGGAGCAGCTCCCACAGCACTGCAGACACCACTGTGGCCATGCAGCTGGGAATACTGGGATTGTGGGAGGCAGAGAAGCAAGGCAGGATTGCTGGTAGCAGTAGGAAGTTTTCCCAAAAGTGGCTGGCTCTGGGAACACACTGCAGGATGCACAGGAATTAGATTGCTGCCCTCCTTGCTCACAGGAGAGCTTGACTGAGAGCTCTCTCAACCCTCTAAGTCTTTAAAGAGCTTTGGTTAAATACTTGCTAGGGTAGGCTCATGGAGTAGCAAGAGAAATCATCTGGAACAAGATGGTTCCAAGAGGAACAGCAGGAACAAGATGTGGCACCCCTGCTACAGGAAAGATATCCACAAATTGGAATGCACCCAGCAGAACCACTAAGATGGTCACAGGCTGGATACCAGGTGTATGAGGTGGATACTCCTCCAAGAAACACTTATCCCACCTACTCCAGTGCATCTCACTCCAAGGTTCTCCCAATGTATTATTGATGCTCTCACTCTCAGCTTGTGGGGGCAGCACAAACCCTTGTCCATGGGAGGGAAGCCTGTGATGCAATTCAGCTCCACGGAGCTCTCTCCACAGAACCCCTGAAGGACACTTTAACCAAGGCTCCAGGTCTGGAGTTGCCAAAATGCTCCTCTCAAAAGGCCAGGCCACTTAACAGGCAGGGCACTGGAACCCAAAGCCCAGGGTGTGCAGGCCTGCAATCAGGTTCCACCAGGTCCCTGTGACATGTTTTCCTTCTGCAAGGCCTTTGCTGCAGTGCCAAGGGCAGGAAGGTGGCTGGGGTGTCCAGAGCACAGGGCTGGAGTGTGTTTGCTGCTCTGGATCACAGCTCTGTGATTGTGATGGTGCCTCTGGGCTCATCAGGGACAGCTGACACCCTCTGAGTGTGGAAAAGGTTCAGTTGTGCCAGCATTTCCCAGGTCCTGGGAAGGACACACAGCTGGAGAGCCTCTCCTGGAGCTGAGGAATGCTTGTGCAGGGTCCAGCTGAATTCTGGAAAACCTCCCAGGCTCTGAAGGCAGCCCAGCAGAGAGCAGCCTGAGTCAGCCACACCCCATGGGGTCCTGCACCAGTGCCACCAGCACTGCAACCAGGGCTGCAGCTGAGCCCTCGTCCCCTCAGAGGAATGGAAAGCAGCAGTTTCCCTTTCAGCTCCACAGTAAAACGTGGCTGCACTGAAGGACTCCTGGGAGCAGTGACCAGGTTGCATGAGGCACTTGGAATAACAAAACCCAAATCATTTTTGTAGAAGTAACTTTTGAATTGCCATGTAGCCTCTGGTTAGTGTACAGCCACATTCAGTGTTGCAGACTCCATTTTAGCTCTCTTTTTAAAAACTACTGCAATAATCAAAGTTTCAGCTAACATGAACCATCAAAGAGCAGCCAGGGTGATTCAAAGGCAAGAGGCTTTGAAATACAACCTGAGAAAACCACATCAGAAATCCCATCCAGGAATCAGGGGTAGGTTGGGACCTACATCCCACCACAAACACGCTTGTCTTCCCCAGTCTGAGTCATGGCCACATTAGTCAGAATCTGAGTACAAGAAGCAGAAACCACTCGTGAAACCACCAGAACACTTGAAGTAAATTAAAAAAAACCAAATAACATCCATCACATATTTCTTGGCACCAAAATAACCAGATATCTAGGAATATCTCTTGGTTTTTGGTAGTGAAAACAAAATAAAAAAAGGACAGTCAGGACTCTAGGACAGTCAGCAAAGCTTTGCTAAGAGACCAAATGTCATTAATATGACACATGATGAAGAGAGTTGGCTTAAAGAAACCACAAAGAGAAGGAATTAAAAAACCTCAGAAAGATAAAGATGGTGTTGCTATGAAGATGAGAGAGGTCTGACTGCAGCCAGGCTGCTCCAAGTGGTGACCAACAGCAGAGGCAAAGCAAGGTCCTGGAGCCTCAGCAGCCAGCATCAGCCCAGCAGTGTGCTGTCAGCCTGAGTGGGAGGAATGGAAACCTGCAGGAGAACCCACCAGGCAGAGCTCACCTGCTGCCTTGGCACGTCTGGGACCTGAGGCTTTGGGAAGGAAACCTCTCACTGAGTTATCTCTGCAGAGCTGCAAGCAGCAGATGAGCTTTCAGGCACATGAGCTGATCCTGGAGAAGAGCTAGAAGAGAAGCCCCAGACTGGCAAGTGGAATTCTGCTTGCTGCAGCTCTCTGCCTCTGTCTCCCTGGAAGAAAGGCTGTGGTAGAGCTCCCCCTGCTTTTTGCAGCTGTACCAATGATCTCATTAAAGTATCTCCTGCAGCTCTAAACCTCCTGCTTCTCAGACCACTGCCCCTACACACTGCACACCTTCACCAAAAGGCAGGGATAAGTTCCCAACCACCTCCAGCACCATCTGCACATTCACTGCCACAGCCTGCCCTGGCCCCCTGCTCTGCCTTGATTTCAGACCTCATGTGCCAGCTGCAAATCCATCCTGCAAACCCAGAAAATCCTTAAAGCTTGGGGCTGCTGCTACTTTTCCTCTCAGTGGCAAACAAACTCTCTTGGTGCTTGAAGCCCTGGCACAGGCTAACCTCCATTTTAAGGACAAACCTCAACAAAACCTGTTCATCTTTCATTGACCTTCCAAAAGAAAAAATTCCTGAACAGCAGTAAAATTCATGTTTGGTTTGAGCTCCCTTGGGTCCTCCCCAGAGGTACTGACCTAAAATTTGGTGCAGAACCTGCCAGGCAGAACCTGCCATTTCCTAAAGGTACAGCAGAGGATGCAAAGCACACAGTGCTGCCAGGCAGCCTGGCCAGGTAACAGAACACCCTCAGAAACACTCACAGTAAACACATTAGTCCATTCTACTCAGAGGTTACTCCCCCACAGATCCTTGCTGGCCTTTTTTGGGACTGGAACTTCAATATTTATCTTAATAATCCCTAAAGAAACACTGCTGCTCCTTTCTGAATGGCTCAGGCCCCACAGAGCTGGTACTGACCCCAACCTGCAACCTGACCTCAGCCTGTGCCACCTGCAAGGACAAGCACAGCTCAGCCCAGGTTTCTCCAGACACTTCCAAAATGTAGAAGTGCTCATTTAGATCAGTGTTACAGAGGTGGGAGAGAGCAGGAAATACTGTTATTACTGAGTTAGTGTCAGAGCCCTCCTCCATGGAGAAAAATGGGGGATTTGTTATTTAATTAAAAATTGTCAGCCCACCAGGGCTTTGCCCACGGATGGTTCTGGCCAACTCACACGACCTGGTTCTACCATACAGCAGCAGATGACTTCATATTTATCAGTCCTGTCCCTCCAGCTGTTCAGAGAGCTGGATTTAACTCTTTCTCAGGGCTGTGAGATGCTTCTACAGCACAATCACCAATGCAGGCAATGTTAATCTTCTACTCCCACTCACAAAGCCAAGACTGAGAGCCTTGGGCTTGAAGAGAGGCACCATGAAGGACCAGGCTCCTCCAATTTCCATCATTAGTGTGTGACAGGACCTACCTCACCCAACCTCCTGAGGGGCTGTATGGTGTGTGTGGCTGGGACCGAGTCTGTGGGCAATAAATACATCAGTGACTTTGTGGAGGTGGAAGAGACCTTTTTAATAAACATGATTCAAATAAAATTAAAAAAAAAAATCCCTCTGAACTGCCACTGTGAGAAGAGTTCGGATTACTAGCACGGATGATGCTGTATGTGCACGATGGAGGGAGAAGGGAAGAAAAGAACAAGCTGTCACCAACTTGATGAGCTTCCTCAGTAAATCAGCATAAACCAGCTCAGCAAAACTCTCCAGATAAAATATTGGTGGAACCATGAAGAAACAACTCAAATCAAAACAAAAAAAAAAAGAGAAAAATCCCTACATCAGAAGGTGCTACATTAGAATAACCAGCGAAATACCGAGCGCCGCTGGAGCCGCAGCAAGGGCAGGGAGATGGGTCAGACCTGCCAGGCTCCCCGGGCTCAGGAGCAGCCACACGCTGAGGGCCTCACTCAGTCCTTGCACGGGCAGTGTGTGTGTGCTACAGGGGTGGCAGGGAGGTCAGGCTATCGGACGAGGTGGTGGTGCAGAGTGGCAGCAGCACAGGGGGAAGGGCAGCACTCCTCGACGGCAGCTCCGTCCCGCTCGCTGTCAGTGCAAATAATCGTCTACTCTGGCAAAGGAGCAGGAGCCCAGGCCCACGCGAGCCATGAGCCGCAGACACTCCGAGGCCTGGCCCAGGGCGAGCATCAGCGGGGGCTGCTTTGGCAGGTTCTGAGATTCTGTGGGGGCAGAGAAAAGAGCTGTTCAGAGGAGGTTTGGCTGGTGCTGGCCCACCTGCGCTCAGGCCTCTCTCTGTCCCAGCTGATCCCTGGCAGAAGGTGCTGGCTCTGCAAGGAAGCTGCTCCCAAATACTGCCAGCTCCGTGCTGCTGCTGCTGCTGCACTCACCCCACCACCCATGATACATCCCACAGCTCAGCAGGGCCTTTGAGAGAGTGCTGCTGTGCTGGCCAGAGCAACAAAAAGGCAACAAAGCTGCTGCTGATGCTGTTTGCCAGAAAACCCTTAAAACATGAAATATCAAAGCATGGAGGAATTAGGAAAGGCAGGAGAATCTGGTCCCAGCTGGGAGGCAACCTCTCTATTTCTGCCACTTGTGCAAGGCTGTACAGCAGCCCAGGCCCTGCATGAACTCACTCTCATCACCATGCCTTTACAGACATGTTTTCTGAGGGAACCCTCTGCTAGCTGCTAACCTGTGTGATGAAGCATGTCCAGACATCACAATTCCCTGGTGACAGACCTCAGCAATTTGTCCATGCTCCTCAAGCAATGGACAAACAGCTGCTGACTGTCAGGGGAAGGGACTCTCCTTCCCAAAACATGCCATTTCTGTTCCTCTGCTCAGCCAGAACATGAGCCCTCATGGGCATGTCCATCAAGTTGTTCCTTTCCCCGGAAGATAATCTCTAAATCTCCTTCTGGAACATTCAGTGTGAGATGCACAGAACCCACAGGAAATCTGCCTGGGCACAGGGAGCCAGACTGGGCAGAGGATGCAACTGCATTCCCTCCTAAAAATAGGATGATACCAGGGCTGAACTCTGCTAATCCATACAGCTGGAAAAGAACCCTGGTAAAGTCTACAAAATTATTCAGGTGGGTTCAGAGCATGAAGGGAGAGGGGCAGAAGATGCACCAAAGAGATCTCAGTTTCTTCAGTGAGCAGGGGAGGAAAATCCTGAAGTGCATCCTTGGGAGCAGCATTGAGGAATATGCAAGGAAGGGAGTCAAAATGGGAGGGTATCAGGGGATTTGTTCTGTGCAAGCAAGAACTCCTACTCCCCTTCCTGCACTACTGCCCTGACAGTCCCCAGCAACAGAAAGAAAGGCCAAAGCTAAACACAAGTATTTCTGACAGGCTTGCCTGCCACAGGACAACCCTTGAGAGCAGGTATGTCTGGGGAAACACTCCCACAGGAACCAGATCTTACCCAAAATAGCACTATTGAGAGCAGCACACACAGGTTCCCTCTGGATGGGGTCCAGCTGTTGGCCAACAGGGCAGTTCCAAGGGTCTGAGTAAGCTAACAAGCTAAAGGCATCCTGTGAGGGAACAGAAAGGAACAGTGAGATCAGGCAGGGCTGCAAACACACAGGAAAACCACCAAGTCCAGCTGGGGCACCTCCTGCAGTCACCATGGTGACAGGTGCCTACCTCCTGAAAAGAAATGGCCTTTTTCCTCTTGGCAGCAAGGGACCACAGTGGGACATCAAAACAGTGGGTTAAAGAGGGTGCCCCCTCCACCTGGCAGGGAAGCCAGCATGGGAAGGCAGGTGGAGTGTCTCCTGGAGAGAAAAAGAGCATGCAGTTGCTCCAGGAAGCCAGGCAGGAGCTGTATTTCTTCCCTCTTGTGCTGAGAACTGGGTGTAGATGCTCTACACTCATGTTTTGATCTGTGATTCCCATGTAGGTCCCTTCTTGCTCAGCAGGTGCAGAAGTGGGGGCTACTCAGGTGTCTGCAAGGGAACCCACAACCCCAGAGCTGGCCCAGAGAGCTGCTGCAATGCAGCACAAGGTCCAGGCTTACCTGAAGCATCTTTTTGTGCATGGTGTTCTTCCCATACTCTCTGCAAAGCTGCTCGCTCAGGATCTGCAGCTCCCGTCCAAACTGGATCATTCTCTCTGTGGCAGCGTGGTTCCCTCCACACAGCTGCCTCTGGGGGCAGCTGTCTTCTAAGGAGAAGCAGTGGAGAAGGAACAATCATCTTGCATTCCCCACCAATGCCCACTGTGTGTCAGGATACCCACAAACTCCCTTCTGGAGCAGGTAGCTGCTTCCTGCCCTAAGTTTATCCCAGTGGAAGCTTCCTGTGATCCCTGCTCTACAACAGCCAGCAGTGGGCTTGTCACAGTGCCTGGTACATACAGGGAAGATCTGAGCTCTGTTTAACTACCTAGAAATCAAGTGTCCTGATAAAATCCTGGCAGCTTGCAACTCCAGTCTGTTACCCTTTCATGTGTGTGAACAGGGCATATAACCCAGAAAGCCCTGGTCTAACAAATCCTGGACTCAGAAAACTTTCAGTCAGAGATGCCAACACCACCAGCTTCTCAGTGTTAGTGGCCACAGGAGCCTTTATAACTGCATGAATCAGTTTCAGAGGCAGTGTAGCTGCTTCATCTGCTCCCTCCTGGCTAAAGCACCCACAAGACACTCAAGGCTGCCAGTTGTGCTGAGGCCACCCTGCAGCTGGACATCACCAGCCTGGCACAGCCCAGCTCAGCTCCCCAGCAGGCAGGCACTTGTGCCAGGACTGCTCTGAGCTCAGTTTCATGACCAGCATGGAACAAACCTTTGACTCCTATTGTTTTCCCTGCTCCAAGATACCACCAGCATTGCTGGGTGTCTAGGAAAAGCCAGACCTAGTTTTAGCTCCAGGACAGATTAATTTTCCCCATGAAGCAGGCACTTCATTCACTGAAGCAGCCCAAAGTACATGCTTTTTCCCCACAATTCAATCAGTTTTAACTTCTGACACCAGCTCCTATCTCCCTTTACCCTCCTGCTCCTGAGGACCTACCCATGCTGGACTCATCTGTCTGCAGGATCTCCTCGTGTTTGTAGGTGCCATTCATTATCCTGGTGGAGGAATTCTCCAGGACTCCGTTGGGGTAATGCTCAGCCTCCATTTCCATCTCACTGTCACTGAGGTGAAAGGAGGGAAGAAAGGTCAGATGTCTAAATTAAAAAGGGAAGCAATTAAGAGCTTATGTGCCAAACAGTGCCCAGCAATGGCCAGCACACCAGAAAAGGTGCCAGCTGGACTACAAGGAGCCAGATGCTCCAAGTCAGTGCAGCAAAAATTGTTGCAGTTGAACACAATTTATTAAACAGGTTCCCTAAGAGCCTGTCATAATTCCAGGTGCAGAACATTTTGCATTTTCCCTTCAGGAAGTGGTGATCCTTGGATAGTAAACAGCAGCCAGGTAACAGATAACACACTCAGAGACTACACAGGAGGGAAATCTTGGCTATGATACATCCCCAGTCCTTGCAAACAGTGCACCACTGAATACTTAAATGCCCAAGACAGCAGGCTGACTGAGACTGCTGATTAACTACTGATTAACTGAAATTATGAGAAGATCTTACTGGAACTTGGGCTCTACATTAAAAAAAAAAAAAAAAAAGGGAATGACAAATCCAGCATCATTAAATGATTCTGGTAAATTGAGTCTGAACAAGTGCTTCTCACTCAGTTACATGCTAGGTGGCTCTCCAGAGGTCACAACTGAGCCTACAAACTGCCCTGCAAGCTGTGCTCAGCACAGCACTTGAAGAATGAGTGCCAGCTGCAATTAGCAAGAGATTCTTTTAATCACAGTGACACCCTCTGCTCCACTGAAGCTTTAGACAGCCCTGCAACAGCTGTGTGGAGAGTGAGCCCAAAGGAAGCTCAGTTTTCACCACAGCTCACTCTGCTCCACACTCCAGAACAGGCAGCAGTGACTGCACTGAACTGCTGGATCACTGTGGCTTCTTGAGAAGGGAGGCTCAGTCTGACCTGCTGTCACAGCATGGAACAAATTACTGCTGGCTCAGAGGCTCACCTGGAAGGAACAGGGCAACAGGCAGCCCAAGGAAATTACACAAGAGGGCACTGCACCAAGCCACTGTGGCCTGAGCTGCTGCCTCACACAGTACAGGGCAGGAAAGCTGCTCAGCAGGAACAAGGGCCTGGCTGAGGCAGCAGAAACAACACCAGGCTGACTGGGGAAGCTTCTGGAAAACTATCACACTGGAATTCAAAGGCATCAGTGTAATGGGACAGCCTGGTGCCTGAAACAAGAGCATCATAATATTCCTTATGACCTGAACCTCCAAGCTTGAGCCACAGCAGGTTTGTGTCTGCTGGGCATAGCAGTGACCTTGCAGATAACAATATTGCTCAAAAGGGCAGGACAGATGCCCTTCTGGCTCCTTAGAAAGCAGACTGACATTTTTCTCTCCATCCCACCCTCCTCAGGTGTCTCCAGAGGAAAAACAATACCTGGTTTCTTGATTACTCGTACTACTGTGCTGCTGAGATTTGGTAGAATCTGTAGAATTGGACTCCGAGTAGTTCACAGATGAAGGGGAAGAGGAGGAGGAAGATGAAGATGATGAACTCAGTGCTGGGTATTTACTGTGACTCTGTTTGCTTTTTGTGGACGTGACTCCATTACTACAGGTTGGACTATCTGCTCCTGAAAGCCAAGAAGAAAGAAAAATGAGACCAGACTGACAATGTCACCCTGTTGTGAAGCCAAGAGTTTAGCAGGAGAGCAGGCCCCAAAGGAAGAAAGCAAAGTAGGACTGCAGATCTTAAATTATGGTTTATCATTCTTAAATTCAATGGGGTTCAGAGAAGACACAAATGAATAAGAAAGGAACCCCATTGCTCACCAGCAACATCTGAGCTTCATGAAGTTCTAAAAATGAGCTGTAAATTAGAGATTGGCAGAAACAGGTCACAAGTACAGAAATTACTGTTGAAGGCAGAACTGCCCAGGCTTTCCACAACCTATCTAAAGTTAGGGATGTATGTGATTCACACAACACTCAGCAAATAACAGCAACCCTCCTAAAGAGCACAAGCTAACCTTCCTTGCTCAGGAGAACAGAAACCACTGAGAGTCAGGGTTGAAATTTCACCTGCTCCTCCACAAAAGGTGCTTATCAAGCTGCAGAACACACTGACACAAGACACAAATTCATTACCACAAGTTTTATATGGAATCAGAATTGACAGGGGCTAAATTTTCTAAAATAGAAAAACCTCATTATGGGCTTGTCTTCTTCATATATTCTTCCCTAGGCAACCAATATTGATCACAGGACCTTGGCTAAATGATGTGACCTGGCATGGCTGTTCTCCAGAAGTGATGGTAATACATCCAAATAGACCAGCTGATCCCACAAGTATGTTTACAGCAGGGAATGTATTTCTTTTTTCTATCACAGCCAACACAAAGATTCAAATTGGCTGTTTTGTGTGTTTTTAAGAAAAAGACAGAGCAGTTTGTTCACAACAGTTCTGCTTCATCTCTGAAATGTGCTCTGATGAAATTATCACTCTTTTGAAAGAACAAGGTCTGACAGAGAACTGTGGAAGGTGGTGTCCATGTGTAGAGACAAATATATATATATGTATATCTATATCTATATAAATGCTGCCTTGCACTGCAAGTTGCAGATGTAGACATGGGTACTAGCAAGAGATTTTATGGACTGATGGGATCATTCTGGCTATCTAGTCAAAGAAACACACCCAGGGCTTCTCACAACACAGCAGAGGAAAACAAAGATACTGGCTTGGAAAGGTGAGTGACAGCTTGGAACTATTCAAGTAATTGTCTACCTTTTCCTTAAATATTTGCCTGTCCACAGTTTGTCACATGCAGCAGTGGGAATACCAACCCAAAACACACTGTGAGCAGCTCACAGCTCAGGGAAGCAGCTCAGCCTGTTTCCAAGGGCTCTGCAGGTCATTTCTCCTGGCTCATTCCATCTCCAAAGCTACAGTCAGTAATTACCATGGGAAGATATCTCAGGTGTCCTCATTTATCTTGTTCTTTCCATATCAAAACCTAAAGTTTAATTTCCCAAACTCCAAAGAGCTGATGCTCCAGAGCTGGGTTTTACTGGAACAGAACTGTTCCCTTCTCACATGTTTAGAGCTTGCAAGGTAAAGTCCATGGGGTGGGAAGAAGCTTTTGTGCAGTGCATCCCCCTGACCTTTTGCTTCATTGGCAAAGCAGCTTCTGCTCAGTTCTTTCTGGAAAGCAATTATTTTGCAGACTCCAAGGTACAGAAAACAGGCTTTGCTTTCCAGACCTCCTCTCAGCACTCCATCAGTGAAACACTGAGTCACAGGTGGCTGCAGTAGAAGACTGCCTTCAAAAGCATCTTTATTCTGAAATAAACCTGCTCTGCAGACAATTGTAGAAAATAGCTAATGCAAAACCAATTCTGTGACAGTGGAGAGACACCCACAATAAAAGAACATCCCCTCAGCTGGGGAAGGAAAGGAAAGGAACATTTCAGAGAATAACACACAGAAACAGCAGGTAATGTCAGACACCACCCCATCCACATCTGCTCTCCTCATGTGGAGCCACAGGACACACTCACCAGTGCTGTGAAGGTGTGAGTTGCTCGATCCATGCCTGGGACTGAAGCTGGGGGAGCCGGGGTAGCTGTCCTGGGAGCGGGGGCTGCGCGCGCCGAAGCAGCGCACCTCGCTGTCCGTGCCGTTCACCATCTCCACGAACTGCCGGCACCTGCGTTCATGGGAGCAAAGGGACAAGGGGGGGCGTGACAGCCGGCCTGCCCTGCACTCAGCCTGCCCTCTCAGCCTGCCCCGGGCCCCACTGGCAAGCCCTAGAAACCTTCAGAAAGATTTCACACTCCTGGTGCCTTTGTATTGTGAGTGCTCTGATGATGCTGCGGAGGAAGGAGTTTGGAAAGTTCATTTTTGATGCTAATGGATGTGGAGATATTCCCAAAAAAGCAAGTTTAACTTCACTGTGCTAAGAAAAAAACTGTTCTTTTGCAGCTTTCACCTCCAGCTCTTCTGCAGGTACTCCAAAATTCAGTCATGGAGGGTTTTTTTCAGGGACAGGGTACTAAATCTGTCAAATACCATCATTCCTTCACTACTCCATCAACTGGTGGTCAATGGAAAATAAAGAAGGAGTAAAAAATACAATATCCACAGTGACAGTGAGGACAGCTCCTCATTTAGCTTTACTGGGAATTGTCCTCATATGTCTCAGAAGTCTGGGGAGAGCCACTCTGTGCAGCTGGGAGAACTGGGACACTTTAATTCCTTTAATCTCTACCCCAGACAGCCTTTTTCCATACATCTGCCTTTCTAGGAACCTTCACAGAGACTGACACTGCTCCAGCACTGAAAGATTTCCACAAGGGCTATAACAGAACCCCTCTGAAGGAATTTCTGGCAGTCAGCAGGATTAAAACTCACCCACGTATGCCTGACCTCATAAAGCAAAGCTATACTGGGTCTGAGCAGCAACAAAAGGGGTACATCTATGGTGCTACAAGACTGTGCAAAGGACTCCCAAAGGTGGCTCAAACAGTGTGAATTCAGAGCAAGGCGTGCAGCCAGACTGGATGTTTAGACAGGTTCTTATTCCCTCCTTCATTTACACATTTCAGCATTAGGGAGCATAAAGCTTTTCATACTTACTTTAACATGAAGAGCAGGTTGGGGTTATGTTCTAGGAGGCCAGGATAGAGCTGCTGGGTGGCTTCTATAGCCTCTCCCACTCTGCCTGCTAATACTAGCTTCTGTATTCCTGAAAGCAAAAGGAGACCTGGTGACACACAGGACCAGCCCACAGGAACAGCCAAAAGAGCTGTCTCATCCATTCCATCCAGGTCCCCATGACCACCTTGCACAAAGGCTTGGGAGAACTGGAGATCATATTTGATTTATTATGGATTAGGTGGAGGAAAACCCTGTGAAAATGTGAAAGGATTTTTGGTAGTAAAAAACCATCAACAGTAGAAGGATCTGAAGGATGAAGTAAGTGGGTTGGGGTGCTCTTTAGTCACAGAGCTCTGCAGCAATGGAAACAAAAGAAGGACATGCCAACTGGATGGAAACAAGGAGGCTGCTGGGGAAGTGACAATTTCAGAGGGCAAGTTCCCAGGTCACCCTCATACTACATTTTCTGTCTGGTTCAAGCTTGGAAGCAAACATATGGCTCAATATGAGATAAACGGAGTACTCTTAGAGGGTCTGTGGTCTTAAATCACAGCACTGCTTCCACGATATTCCTACCACTAAGCAGAAGTAACTATACCCACAAAACCATGTTTTGAATAAAGAGAAGTACCTCCTATTGACTACACTAGAAACAGCTCAGTGATTGGTACACTTCTAGGAGGTGCAAAGACACAAGGCAGAACACACTTATCATGCTTGGTGTTCATGTCCCAATGAACATGAACACATGGTGTTCATGTCCCATGTATGTTCCTCCAGCAGGTCAGAAGACACAAGTGCAAGACTCAACTCGAGATCCCTGAAAGCTCAGAGAAGCTGCTGATCTGCAGAGACTCACATTTCTTTTTTCTAAGTGTACTTAGAGATAAAAATTAAATGTACTTAAAACTAAAACAGCATAGTTTATTCCAGCACTCCTTATGAACAGCAGAGGGAAGGTTTGGAATGGCCCATGAGGTGCTTTGCAAGCAGGGCCTCTCATAACAACAGGCTGTGGCTTTCGCAAAGTGTTGGAGCAGTTGGAAGCCCAGTCTGGTAAATCTTCATTAACAATCCCAGTAACAAACTGCAGTGACTTGTCTCGTCTCCCACTTCTCAGTGTCTATCTGGTTGTTATTATAGCTGAAATCTGGAACCAAAGCCATGGCTCTCACACCAACACAAGAGCTCTCATTTCACTCTCTTGCACGTCCATTTTCTCGTCTCGCTGCTTCTGACAGCTCTGCTTTGCCTTGTTTGGCAACTCTCACAGATGTCATTCCCTTTTATATTTCCCCCTCTTTTTGTTTCCCCATCTGTGTTTTCCTCACACCTTTTATTCAAGGCCCAACTTCAGGGCTCTGTGTTCCTGCCTCCATCTGCCTTGTCACCTGTCCTCAGACAAACAAGCCCGCAGCATCTCGCGTGCCTCCCGTCAGGCTCTGCCACTTAAACCCACACCACTGGGAGCACTGGCTGGGGTCAGGGTTGCATAATGCATGACCTGGAAAGCACAAAGCCCATCAGCACTAACAGGCAGCAACTGTGAGTTATTTAAAAGCAGAGTCCCCAGATGAACCCGAATGCTGGCTAAGCACATGCAATGTATGGAGAGCAAGCCACAAAGGGGCACAATGCTCTGATACGTAACAGTCACACGAGAAGCAGTTCACAAAGGGAAGGCAAATGTACAGGCATGTGGCCTGTATTCAGCAGCCAGGAGAATGCAGAAAATACACCAATGTTCTGCCACTCTGCAGGCTGAGCCTGTGAATAGAAATGTTTAAAAAAAAAGGTAGAGCTGGAGGAAGCTGCAAGCCTTATTCTGCAGGACCAAAAGCGCTGACAGCCCTGCCAGCTGAAAGATGAGCCACTTGGGAGCAAAGAGCAGCAACCAAAACAGACACAGAACACAAATTCTTCACCCAGTGCGAGCTTAACACGTTGGCTGTGAATTTGAAAAGTCCTCAGCACGTCAAAGTTACCTGAATCACAATGTGCAGAGGGACTGGAAAAGTCCTTAACTCGGAGCCGCAGTGAAACTAAATGGGTGTGTCAAATCCCTGTACCCCAGCTAATGGACCTGCTGCAGCAGCCTGCAGTGAAGAGCTCACATCCAAAGGGATCTCTGGTGCACAATGATCTCAGCTCAGGGAAAGGCCCAGCAGAGCAGACAGGGACAGGAAGGAACAGGGCAGTCCTCCAGGCAAAGACGGCAGAGGGTGGAGAGCACACAGTGGTGATGGGAAAAGTGCTCCAAGCAGAGATTCCCAAGCTCTGCTCCAGGCCAGCAGAGAGCTGAGCACAGCTCTGTACTCCCATGGAGTGACTTCCACAGCACCCTGCAGAGTCCCAAAGGGAGCACACTTGAGGAGTGACACCCCAGAGACTTACTTTGTCTGTTCTTTATTGAGGTCTGTTCTTCCTGGATTGTGGTGTCTGTGACTCTGGCAAAGGCAGTTGCTGTTGAACAGTACCCATGATGAACCAAATATGATGAAACCATACTAGAAAAAAAATAAAATCCAAGGAGATGATGAGACACCAGTGAAACAGTCATCACACTGGAGCAAAAAGAAGCCAACACAACAGAATTTGCAATTTCATAGAGAAACTCAGCTTGCTTAGGACATAACCAAGGCTCTACTTCTGGGTCTAAATTGTGTATATTTACAGGATAGGCACCTGGTCCTCTGCAAACAGGAAGGAGGCTCTAAATTCACTTTACAGAGTGGAAAAAAAATTAAGAATCTCAAAGCATATACAGTATTTATTTATGACTGCTGTCCAAGGGTCACTTGTAAGGGCTCAATACTGTGTTACTGCCAATAACATCCTATAGAGACATAAATCTGAACCTCAGAGAGGTTCACGGCTTTCAAGTATATCTAAAAAAGAAGAAAAGATTCTGGTCCTGAATTTCTTCCATCACTTATTTAACAGCAATTATATCTTTAGTAGTTCAATCTCCTTATGAATTCTGCACATTCACAGATACTTTAATCTGTGACTGTCAGCATTGACTTTAAAAACATTAACACTCTTCAAAGCTGTATTTTAAAAAAATCTTGGGGGAGGGAAGAGTATCACTGTCAGAAAACAAACACAACAGAACCACCTTTCTAAACAGACCATTTCTAACACATTTGTGCCTTCCCAGGACACAGTGACTCAGTGTTAATGCTCACTGGATTTTAACAAAATCTAAAACTCCAGAAACAGGATTTCAAAGCTTCTCATGATGAATGTCAAAACAGGCTTCTCATGATAAAGCTGGCATTGATCTGATCAAGTCACAGCTCAAAGCACACATGAACTTGGCTACTTTCAGTACAATAAATTAGTATTTTATGAGTCAGCAATCATTCTTAGGCATAACATTGCAGGCAGGTGTGTAATTTTTGGAAGTTGTTTTAAATACAAGTGTTACTGCCCAAGAGCTCTATAGGAGGAGCTCCAGAGTGGTGACCCTGACAACCCCACTGTGCACATCAGAAGAAAAATTTCTGGAGAACACAAGGAACAAACAAAGGGATAAATTGGTCCCACTGAAGCAGAATCAACAGCTCTTGTTAAGGGAGGTCCTGGCTCTCTAACTTGGTCCCATTTTGGAAGGCAAATAACAGCATCAATAACACTCCTGACCTCTGACAACTCCTGCCAACTGTTCTCATCAAGTTCCACTCAATCCTTTTTGCAATGAGAAGTGCTTTCAATATTCATAAATTTATAAAATGCCATAACTGTGCTTTCAGTTAGGTTTGGAAGCCTTTGGTTTAGGCTATTTCTTGCTCTTTCATTTCTGAATTCAGCTGGCTTACACACTGACTTTTCTCCTATATTAGGAGTTTTTATGGTATCTTCTCCTTCCTGCAGTTTATCACCCCAAAATGTATGTCCTTCCATTCCTACAAGCTTCCATGCAATCTCTGGCTGAAAATCTACACAGGAAAGACTCTTAAACAACAGACCAGAGTGTAAAACAATTCGACCAAAATGCACAGAGTGGCAATTTCTGCCACAAGAGAGCACAAATTAGCCCTTAAGAAGTATTTAAAGCCTAACAAGAGGGAAGAAGCTGAACACCAAGGCAGTGACTTACTTCTGCAGCATGGCTTGCCACTCTCCCAGCCTGTCTCCGATGGGAAACCGCTTAATGGTGCTCTGGATCTTCGCCCTCCACTCCCTCATGTAGTCCTCAATGTCAAACACAAAGGGCTGCTGCCCAAAGTTGGCATCCACGATCTCCCCTGGAGTCTGGAGACCCACGGTAGGGTAGAGGTTTGACTGGGAAGGAAGAAAAACAAACCTGTATTAAACACAGCTGTCTTCTTCTGGTTCCAGACACGTGGTTTGGTAAAACCAAAAGCTGCTCTTTAAACTGAAATAAATATAATGGAATTGGAAGAGGCAACAGCCCTTTGGGTACTTCTCAAGGAATCCTGTGACCTATTGTGCATTTATGAAAAGTTATTGCTTCAAACCAGAACAATGGGTTCAATCCCCCAGCAGCCTGGCATCGAGGCCATGACTGCATTCTGTGGATGGCACTTCTGGCTTAGTTTTCTACAATTTCTACCAAGCTTCAAGAGCCAGCAGATAATATAACAACAACAGCAATAATAATGGCAATTAGTAACAATAACAGCAACAACAACAATAACAACAACAACAACAATAATAATAATAACAATAATAATAATAATAGTAATAGGTGCATCATCTCAATCAATGGATCTGTGTATTCCCTCCAGTTTCAATTCAATTCTTTTACTCCTTGGAAATTGTTATCTCAGTCTTGTACATCTCTGATGAAAAGGGTACATGATGAAAAGTGCATCTCTGATGAGAAATCTCTCTGCTTAGCAGCTGTTGGGAAGTACACGTATCTCCAGCTCCCTGCCAGATGCAGGCAGACACAATCCCAGAGCCCAGAGACCCAGGAGATGCTTCTCCTGCCAAGTTCTTCAGGAACACCTTCCCCGTGACATCTGGCCCACCTCTTGCCCTGATGTTGGTCACCAGTTACTCACAACCCCCCTTGTTCATCTTGACCTGGTTTCTAACCCCCCTGTCCCCCTGCACTCCTACAATCCCACCCCAGGCTCCTCTGGTTTTTTTATTTCCCATTATTCCTTCCAACCTCCAGGCAGGCTAGACCTGATCCAGGCTTGTGTAAAGAAGAGTTGGGCCTGAGCACTGACCAAAAAAAAAAAAAAAAAAAAAAAGGAAACTCCCTCTTTTCCTCTGTGGGAATTCACTCCTATTTCAAGCAATTATTTTGGTTTTAACTTCAGCCTGTGCTAAGCCAAAATGTGTTTTTTCCTATCACTGTATTTTTGTACAAATGAAAACACCCTTTAGAGGAAACTGAAACAACCCAAAGCAAGTATGTTTCAACATCTGTGTCTCTGGTTTTCAAATTAAAGTATCCATTTCAACTTCCTAATATTGTGAATTCTGCAAAATATTGCTTTCACCGTTTGCCTCTGAAAGGGGAATTTTGCAGCAAGCATTTCAAGGAAATTATTTCTAATTTGGCAATGTTTTGAAGGGTCAATTTAATTTGTTGTGTAATCTCACTGATATGCCAGCCCTAAAACTGAAGTTTAAAAATTTCAGAAGTAATGTGGTTTACTGTGTGTTACCAGTCAGCTTCAACACCCCAAGGAAAAACTCTCCCTTAAAGTCCCCCTGGAGGGGTGAGTAATGAGGAATGGACCACAGCCAAAAAATCCACGTGGAGTTGCTCAAACCAGAGCACTTCAAGGGTCACTCAGGTACGTTTGCTGCTCCCACTCCTGTTTGCAGTTAAATTTTCAGAACTGCAGCTTTAGGAGGTGAAGAACATAGACTCTATAATGGATACTTTCTTTTCTTTACCTTATAATCAGTGGATATTGTGTTTGAGCCTGGAACAGAGAACTATAAAAAACTAAACCTGCAAGTAATCAGCTTCATATTCTCTACTGCCTCAAGAATTCTACAATCTCTGACAATATTAATTATTTTAAACATTTTCAGTAAAAATATTTTCAATATTTTTTATCTTGGGTTTGGCATCCTCTTCTTTAGGAAAGGTGGTAACCTGAACTGTTTGAACAACCACTAATCCATGGGCCAAGGGAGTAAAAAGAGCACATGGAATACATTGGTACCTGCAAGGGTGAAGGAAGAAGGCAGTAATCCAAGGGAAGGATATTGGAAAAGAGAATGCAGTAATCCAAGGGAAGGATATTGGAAAAGAGAATGCTGAAGTCAGGTCTAGGCACCCTTAGGAAGCTGCCAGCAGAGCAGCAGAGTGATTTAGCACATGCAGATCACTAGATCCACATGGAGGCATAAGTCTCACATCCACAGTTAAGGGGTAAAAAGACCCCATCAAGCTTCTTTCCTCCTCTTTTTAAAGAGGAATTATCTCATGAAGGATAATTCTCAATAGCAGGAGGCCTACAGGGCATCAGCTGTTCTCCTGGCTGGCCAGAAAAACAATGTTATGGATCAGCTGCTGCTGTGAAAGCCAGCAGGGGACTTCCCCAGAAAACAGCTCAGCAACCTGGCTGGTAAAGGTGCAGAGACCATTTACACACCATTTATCCACTGGAGATTCCACCACGGCATCTGTCAAAGACTACCCTGGCCAGATCTTCTCCCAGTTTCACACTAAACATCTCTGCACAAGACACACAGTCAGAGAAGGCTGAGATGCTGTGGGGATGATCTGAGCATAGCAGGAAACAGCAGGACAGGGAGATGCCAGGGGCTCAGGAGAGTTTTGAGTTCCATCTCAGTGGCACTGCAAGACCTCAGTGCAGCAAACACCCTTCTGTCTGCTCTGCCTCTGCAGCTGCCCATCCCCTGTGCCTAACAAAGCCTCAGCACAAGGAGAACAGCTTACACATGAACATGAAATGCCTGTGTCAGCTCACTGTGCACTCCAGGACCAACAGGATGCAAGTTAAGCCAAGCAGGACAGGGAAATTGAACCTGCCAAATCTGTGAAGCTGCACAGCAACACTTGAGCAGTAAATGACAAAGCAGTGTCCATGTGCTGGACAGCTATTTTTGACTGACAGGAGCCTAAATAGCCATTGTCTATCTCAACATGGAGACTGCTCCTGTTGCAGAAGGGGAAGCAGTCTAAACAAATGGGAAGACAAAGTGGTGAAAAAGTTAGAAGGAATATGGTAAATCTCTACTACTAATGCAATCTATATCCAGAGGGAAAACAAACAGCACCAAAAACTAAGGGGTATATCAGAGAAGCATCTTCTTGCTGTGGATGCAAGGTTATCACAGTACCTCACTCCAAAAGGTTAATCTTCATGGAAAGGCAAACTGTTCTTGTACTTTAATAAACCGTACTTGGACCAAGTGAATGAACTGCTGTGGAACAACCCACATAAAGAATTTCTGGTTTAGAACACACTGCAATGTTACCAAGTTCAAAGACCCTGGGACAAAAAAAAAACCCCAAACACCCTGTATTGACAGCTGATGTGAAAAGGCCAATCAAATAACTGCAATATAAGTGCAGGCTGTAGTTGGGATATGGGAGAAATCTGCAAAGCCCTAAATCCCACTGGGAAGGTCAGCAGGGAGTGCTGGCCATTATTTCTCACAATACAAAAATTAGAGGAACAAGATGAATTTTTTGATAGTAAGTACAGAACAAAGCAAAGCAACCTTTCTTCCACACAACACTGAAGTCAGCCAAGAAAATGGATCACTTTGGAGGCCTAAAAAGTTACTAAAACTAAGAAATTTGTCAGAGGAAATTAATTTGGGGTATTTAAGTACAAAGACAAGAGTGCAAACTTAGGGACAAGAAGTCCTGTGTATGACAGATGGATGCAGTGGATTGTTGGTGTATGCCTGACCTGGGTTTACCTTTTCTCACTGAACACATCCTCCTTGTCCAGAAACACCTGGGTCTAGAAAAGAGGGAACATTTTCCTGTGCTTTTGTGAGACCTGACTAGACATCAGTGTAACAATGCACATGTTCTCCTCCCCAGAGTCAAAGCTGCATTTGGAAGACCATGACCTGTAATGAAGTTTGCATCCTTGCTTTAATTCCAGGAGAAGGAGCAACATATTCTTAGAGGTGGTGAGGGATGACAGGAGGCATGTGAGTAGCCCACAAACCCAGTCACAGGATTATGAAGTTTCAGAAAAAGGAGCATCCACATCATTCAGTAATGTGTGTTATCATGTTTTTTTTCAACAGGGCATCAAACAGAAAAAAATCACACCCCCACACTCTTCCCCCTCCCTTCTGTTTGCATCCTTACTTAAAATACTGAAAATAGGTGTACTTACAGGGAGGTCTGTAAAGGCTATACCTGTGGGGGGAAAAATATTAGAATTAAAAAGACAAAGGATTTTTTTTCCCTGCTTGCCTACATCCTTAACATGCTATAAAACATTACTGCATTTCAAATCCCAGCTCTGACCCTGCATTTCACCACCTCATGTATTTAGAAGCAACTTCCCTCCCCAGTCCCCTCCTCTGCAAGGTTTTACATCTGGAGAAAGGTTCAGGAAAAAGCCTAAATGTTTTTTTCAACATCTCTCCTGAAAAAATTGATTTTCTAAAAGCAGCTCCTCTTTCCTTTGCTTCTCCCTTTGTTGCTGGGAAGGAGTTAGTTTTCAAGACTCACTTTGGTGTTAGAAACAGAGTTATAGTATAAAATTGCTTTGGTTTAGGCTGTAACTGATTCTTCTTATCAGCCAGAGAAAGAGGAATGAATATTCAGCACTTGGCATTACAGCTGGGAGCACCTGAGAAACTGTGCAAAGAACAGCCCCATCCTCAACTCAGCTGACACAGCTCCAAATAGAAAAGATGGAAAAAAAAGTGTATGGTTTCCCTTTTTATTTACATCTGGCATATCAGAAAAGAGGCATTTAAGCTGAGGCAGCCATTGCCTAGGATGGTTAACAGAGCTTTGGCTAGAGACAACATTCAGCACAGCCAGGCCAGCCCAGGCACAGCTCTGCATCTGTTCAGGTGCAGTTACTGCTCCAAAGGATGGGGCTCTCCTGCCAGGCTGGGATCCAGCAGCACAGGGAGATGCTGGGCACAGGAGCAGCCAGAGGCAGCAGCTCCAGCCCCGGCTTTGGGGCACCCTCAGCAGCAGCACAGGGGACACTGCTGCCATCACCTCATCAGGCTTCCAGCTAACACTCCAGGAGTCAGTCTGGAAGCTGCAGTTATTTCCCACGTGTGTTCCCAAGAATGCTTTCCTGTCCCCAGCCAGAGGAAGGCTGGTACCCACACCAGGACACCCAGTTCTCACACATGTCCCACCTCTCCTCCTTCACTTCTGCCTGGCACTGGAAGGAAGCAGAGAGAACACCACCCTCTGGTTTTAATTTTAGGACTATTTTAACCCAGAGCTGCAATGTAATGTTACCAGATCAGCCTGAAATGGTAATTTAAACCAGTTTCAGGAGTCAAGATAGGAAACAAGCAATTTCTGTTCAAAACAGCACAGATCTAAATCAAATGTTCGTAAATAAATCCTGAATATTTTACTAAATAAACAGCCAATAAAGACAAATTAGCATCATGGCAGATAGTCAGTATGGTTTAATGAACATCCTGGCAGTTTGGACCTTGTTTATTGAGCACCCTCTGTACAACCCAACCAAAGACTGTGCACACAGGTGATGTTGAACACATGGCTGAGGAAAACATTCAGTAAGCATTTCTCTCACCTTGTCACTTTGCCCACATATTGCATCTCACTCAAACCTTTTTTTCACTTTGCAATTATTTTGCTCAGCTGGATGAAAAGGTGGATGAAAGCTTGTTTTTCTTATGCCAGAATGAGGCCAATCTCCTTGAGCATGCTGGAGACTCCACTGGAGTCTTCCTCTGCCCCCAGCACCTCTCAGAGCCAAAGGTGGCCAGGCTTGTGTATTTCCAGGGGGCTGGAAGCTGCTTCCAGCACCTGGACAAGCACATGGTTTTTGAATGGACTGCAAGGTGGGTGGAAAATTGGCTGAACTGTCAGGATGGAAGAGTTGTCATCAGCAGCTCAAAGTCCAAGAGTTGTCCCTCAGGGATCAACGGCAGGGCCAACACAGTTCCCTGTCTTCACTGATGACCTGGACAATGGGATGAAGTGTGATCCCAGCAGGCTCACAGGTGTCACCAAACAGGAGAGTGGACAATAGGCTGGAGGGCACAGTGCCATAGCTGGAGAAATGATCCAGCACAAGCCTCCCAAAGCTCAACAAAAGCAACCTAAGAGCCCTGCCACCAGGCTATGATACTCCCAAAAAATAGGACAGGATGAGGCTGACTGGAGAGAAGGCAGATCTGCAGAAAAGATTCTGGGTCCTGCTGGGCAACAAGCAGAGCAGGAGCCAGTGGTGGGTCCTTGCAGCAAAGGACATCAACCACATCCTGAGTATTAGTGAGAGTGCAGGTTACAGGATGGGATTTCTCCCCTCTTTTCCAACACTGGTTAGTCTACTCTTCAGTTGTGATGTTCACTTTAGGGCTCCCCAACACAGGACACAGTGAGACTGGAGTGAGTCCAGCAGAGGCCAGCACGACAAAGACAGGCTGAGGGAAAAGTCTCTGTTCAGTCTCAAAAACATTAGGGCAGACACCTATTGCTGCCTACAATTGTCATATAGGAGGGTATAAAAAAGGCTTTTCTCAGAGATGCAAGGTGGCAGGACACAGGAGGCAACACAGACAAGCTGCAACATGGGAAATTCTAATGAGAAAAATTCAGTATGAATTTTGGTCAAACACTGAATCAGGACCAGAAAAGCTCCCAGGTGATCTCCATTCTTGAAAACAGTAAAAACTTAATGAGTTTCTGATCTAACATGATCTAGTTTGGGCCTGCTTTCAGCAGTGTTGTATGCTTGACCTCCAGAAATCACTCCCAGAGAAAATAATTCTATGATTCTATAAATAAACTTATTACATTGCCTTTAAAATGAGACAAATGTATGTTTTCCACATTCTGTTATGTAACTCAGACTAATAAAATGCTTTATGCAGACAGCACTTGGTCTGTTGCACAGACATGTCTGCTCAGAGTTTCTGCATCTGCACTGCTACACATCTGCATTCAGGAAAGCCAATAGTAGAATGGGAAATAATCACAGCTTGAATGTGAAACTGTTTTCTTCCTCTGCAGCCCCTCCAAAGCCTGGATCCAGTTTAAAACCACAACCTTCTTAAACACCTAAGGACTGGACAAATCAGGAGGTCAGGAAGCAAGAGCAAGTGTGTGAAGGGCAGTGACATAAAGACATTAAATGAAGGTTCAGTGCTAGGGCACAGTGTGAATGACATTTTCACCTGCCAACCAAACAAAGGACTTCCACTTTCCATGACTGCACCTACACATGACCCCATGCACTGAATGTGTTCGTGGACCTTCCAGCCCATCTCTGCTCTCCACCCAGCACCAACCATCCTTTCTGCCTCATTTACAGAATTCAATTTGCACAAGACAATGTACATTGGTAATCAGCCACAGCACTGCACTGCCTGCACAGCAGGGAACTCCTGCAGCACCTGCTTAGGGAGCTGTGATCCAGGGAGTCCTCAAGCACTGCTGCTGGACTGCAATGAACAACTCCTTCAGCAGTGTGGGCATCCTAAAGAGCAGACCAGGAAATGCCAGCCCAGGAAAATACTTGAATACTTCTCCAATATGCTGCTGAGGAGAAGCACTGTCAAACCCACACAGCTCCACATGCTCTTGGAAACAGATCCTCCAACCAGGCCATGGGGTAAAACTGCTCATAGAGAGACAAGGCTGTAGCCAAGCCTGGTATTTTCTGTTCATTTTGGTAGTGAATGAGGGTGGTGAGGCCCTGGCACAGGCTGTCCAGAGAAGCTGTGGCTGCCCCATCCCTGGAAGTGTCCAAGGCCAAGGTGGATGGGGCCCAGTGCAACCTGGTCTCTGCCCACAGCACAGGGGCTGGAATGACATGATCTTAAAGGTCCCTTCCAACCCAAACCACTCCAGGATTCTGTGGTTTTAAATCTGATTAATCTGAAGTCTTGTTTTGAACATCCCAATGCTCTTGCTGTCTGCAAACTTCACTTGAAGTTTTGGGGTCAAATGTATTAAATGTGGGACTGACACCTGCATGTTTCTCACAACAGGTTTCAGCATTACTCCTAATGTTCTCCCCAGTCTCTAAACTGGCTGCAGAATGGATATTTTACTTTTTAGGTTAACCTGGTCTTTCCAAAAGCCTGCACTAGAACTCAAACTACGGGAAGTTTTCTATGCCAAGACTTCAGAGGGTTGCATGCTCTTTTTATAGCCCTGCTGCTCCATTTACCTTGGTCTGCTGTCAAAGTCTGAGATCTGAGACACTCCTACATTAGTCCCTGAGCAAACTCATCCACTTAAACCCAGAGACCTGCAGCAGTCACATTTCCTCCTCATGTCCTGGTCCAAGACTTCTGCTTAATGGCTGGTGCCCCAACACTTCTCCCTCTTTCTTTCCAAATTCACTCTCATCACACTTCTAGCCACATCTCACTATGTTTTTTACTGCCAGGACTCTGCTCAGAACTTGTCAAAAGTGTTTCATCAGCAGCCAGAAGACATTCAAGACATTTTCCAGAACAGAGAATTAAGACTACATACGATGTCAAACAGTTTTCATGTGACGTCTCCAAATAAAGTTCAAGACTTAGCTCCAACCAGAACATCCAGAATTTGTGATGGCCAAGAAAACAGTTCTTATACAGTGCTCCTGATGGATCTGATTAAATGAAAAAGTATGGAGACAATGGAAGATAATAGTTAAGCAACAGAAGAAATTGCAAGGAAAACAAAAGGGGGGTGTCTAATCAATAGATGAAAAGGAGAGGACTTAAATGGTGAAGAGTGAATTAGGAAGACAAAGCTACAGTAATTCCATCAAAAGAAAGACAAATTCAAACTCTGAAACCCTGCTCTCCAGCTAACTGGCCTCACAAAGGGGCTGATTAGCCTCATGAATATTCTTGGCATCTGCAGTAGGATTACACAATTACCTCATCTCCTAGGAGGAGACATACATGGCTTCCACAGCTTCATGTGTCAGGGAACACCTACAACAACACACATTCATCCCCTTCCTGGTAAACCCTGGGTTTACCCAACACAGAATTGAGATTCTCAGGCTAGCACTAAATATCATGGAAGTTCAAGACCTTCAAGGAGCTGCTTCTTTCAGGGAAGAAAGCATTCTGACTTCCAAACAAATCATTGCTCCTGCCTCCATTTGGTTCCTCTGCTGACCCCTGTCTCACCCCCTCCTCACACCTTTGCTCTGTGTCCACGAGGAGCTGTGTAGCCCCTGGCCAAGGGGCTCCTCTCCTCAGCATTGCATTTAGCACTTCTCCTGGATGCTGTTATTTATCAGTGACACAAACAGACACTCCTGGCCCTTACCAGCAGCCTCCTCAGATGAGGTTTTAATTCTGCTTTTGTGAAAAGGCAATAAAATGTTCCTGCAGCTTTTGTGGGGTCACCCAGCAAGGCCTGAGGTCTGCTGCTCCCTTCTGCACTTCCACTCCTGTCTCCTCTAACCAAACCATCTCTCCTCTCTCTATCTATCTCAAAGAAAAGCTGCTACCCACAGGAGCCAGCTGTGAATGCTAAGGAGAGGCTTCTACCTGTCCTTTTCTCAGACAGCTCATGTCTTGTACATCTGAAGGGCTCAAGAGGACACCCAGGGGACAGCAATGCTTATAACTGATGCTGCTCTCTAAGCATGGGAACTTTGTTGTTACCTTTCCTGTTTCTTCCCAGTGGCATTGTTCACCACTGGGGTAGGCTGTTCCTCAAGGGGACATTCAATATCAGACTAGAAAAACACGAGCTTTCCATCCAAAAAAGCCCCATCTTTGAAGGAAAAGGAACATTTCAGTTTAAGAAAGGAAGACTAGGTAACTTCCCTGCTGTAAAGAACTCTGAATGTCCCAAACCAAACAAGTCTCTGAGCAAGGACACGAGGTAAAGAATCAGAGGGTGGTAATGACAAAAGGTAACTCAGAAGTTACTGAACTGGGCTCTTTATTTGGCTTCATCTGCCCAGACACCCAGGCACAACACAGTCCTGGGTACAAAACAGAGAAGAGAAAGCAGCAACTTTTCAACTGATACAGATTATACTGTGGAGACTCTGGTCATTAAAAAGAAATTAAATATCAAATGAATAAACTTGTATTCATTAAATAGAAGATCTGGCCTCCTCCTGACTCTTACACCGCTGTTACGATGAAAAGTAACAGCACCATCAGGGTGAAAAACAGTGAGGTTGGAAAACCATCCACTTAAACAACAGAAAACATCCAGAGGAGCACAGCACAAACCACTACAGGGAAATACAGGCTAAAAATATAGGACAGCAACTAAAAGGAGACATTTTGTGATATTTTTAAAACTGTTTCATTATCTCAGTTGCTCTTGTTTATCTTGTCTCACTCCTAATCAAAAGCCCCTGCTCTACACCATCAGCTGTTGCTTTCAAGCCTCTACTTGTCTCACCAGCACTGGACTGACATGGGCAGCCTGAACAACCCCAGCTCCCCCAGCTTTCCTCCTAGGAGAGATGCTCCAAACCCTTCATCACCTTGGCAGCCCTTTGCTGGACTCTCTCCAGTAAGTCCATCTCTCTCTAATATTGGGGAGCCCAGTACTTTTCCCAAAAGCTCACCAGAAATTCTGTGTTCTCCAGGCACACACTGCACTCCAATCCCACTCCCTCCTTCAGCCCAGCCAATAACTCAAAACATCTTTGCTCTGTTAAGTGTTTTGAGCAGTGTGTGATATTTTCCTACCAATTTAATCTTGAATTCAATGAAGTAGAACTGACACAGAAAGGAGAAGCAAAGGAAAGGAGTGCTCATCCCTCCCTGCCAAATCAAATGAATCAAAGTACAAAAAGTGAGATGAACCTACAAAAATTTACTGCATATCTTTATGTGTTAAAAAACCAGAAAGACAAGAATTTATCTGGGGTGGAGAACATGTCATCCAAGGAAACAGTATTTTAGGGGAAAATGGCCAAAAATCTCTATTTTAGACAAATAAGATATGACAGCTGCCTGGAAAACATCTGAGGTATTAATTTGGGCAAAACTTTTTTTTTTTAGTCTTTAAGACAGTTACTGAAACAAGTGTGGAATGAACCAAATTGTAGCTCAATGCTTAAGTCAGACCACTCTTATACTGAATTAATATCTGGCTTTGGGAATGCTCCGACCAACATGTTGAGGCTTTCAGATGGACAAATCCCTTCAAAAATGAAGACACCAGTACCGTGCCTTTGTAGGCAGTTGCACAACACACTAATTAAACTTCCCACTTCTTCCTTTCTTTCCCTCTTGTCCAGCCATTAGACATCTTATCCAACCTCCCACCCACTGTGCAGTAGCAAAGCAGAAGAAGCTGTGGTTGAAACTCTAATATATCAAAACAAACTGAGCAGCATGGAAACCATTTTACCTGCTGGAAGCATTTCTGTCTTGGAGCAAATTTACAACTGCTGACAGCTGCTGAGTGCTCTTTTCCTCTGCCATTTAAACCTCACTCACAGGTGTGGGACAAGAGTTACAATACAGCAAAGGATTAAACAGCAGCGAGAGCAGGGCTGGAGCATCCCTCTCCTGAGAACACCTTCCCTCACTTACCTAAACTGTGGCCATTTTTTGTGTAGAAGCAGGTATTGTTGATGAGGTTGACACAGCAGCCAATCACATCTCCAGTGGTGAAGGTGGGGCCGTAGGGCTGCCCTGTCCCCGAGGAACAGAAGGAGTGCCCATCGTCACCATGGTACCCATAAGAATGTTTATCCCATCCTGCAAAACACAACCAAAAGAACAGGACAGCAGTGAAGCCAGGTCAGCAGAACCACATGGAACTACCACAGCTCTCAGGACACCATTTTCTGTGGGAGTTTTCAAATTTGATTCCCATTCCTGATTCATCCCAATATTAATTTTCACATACCGGTAAATAGAAATAAATTAATGGTCTTTAATCAGAACACATCATTTGCATTTCAACCTGTTTCTCTTTTATCTTGCCTGAGGTGAAACAATCTCCTTTTGTAAAACACTAGTGTTTCCCAAAACAAAAAAGCATTTAACAAAATAATTCTCAGTTGCAGCTTTGTCTGTAAGCACTGTCACGGGTGTACCAAATGGAGAGAGGCAATTTCTGCATCCTCAAATCTGTATTTCCCTTTCATGAGTTGATAAGGATTTCTATGGATATGGAAATAGAAATCTAAGGATTTCTATTTCTTTGTATCATTGGGATACAATATTTCCCATTCTGCAGACAGCTTAAAACACAACCCTCAAATGTCAAAGGGGAGTTCAATGCAAAGTGTTCAGTTCTAATATTAATATCTTTTATTTCTTCTGCCAGTAACATTGTGCTAAGGGTTACAGCTGCATCCTGCCCACTTGTTCTTTTTTATATATCCCAGTAATTTCATTTGGATCATTCCTCTGAATGGCATCAAAGCCACATCTCATAGAGAGACAGAGTTCTACCAGAAAGTGATACAACATTAAAAACAGACACCTGTGTTTTATACGCATAAGGCTGGATCCTTAGGGAAGCAAAAGAAGGTGCTTTGGCTGTCCTCTGACCTTATACACCAAAGGGTGGTGCAGATTCTGTTAAATGTGGAGCAATGGCTCTGGCAAAGGGACTATGTAAGAAACACAGAGTCTGTGCAGGAAATGTACATCCTGCAATGAGGCACAAAAAGATTGAGCACCCTGAGAACTACGGAGCAGAGCCCTGCAAAGGTGGGCTGGAACACTTCTGTGAGCCAGGGTTTTCCTCCAAAACCAACAACAACATGAAGGCATCTAGAAATTCAATCTTGTAAATAGTTCCACAACACTGAGGCATCAGCACTCACATGCTCAGGGCTTCTCAGAAAAGCACAAAACAGTCAGTGCATGTCCAAGGCCCCACTCACTGTACCACACCAAATGAATGCCAGTGGGAAAGTCAGGGAATGAAGCAAGACAAACATGCCACAGTCCAAGATTTTGGACCTCAGAGCAAACTTTGGGAGTGAAAGCCATGAAGGACTCCCAGCAAATTCTGCTCTAGAAATGGTGAGTAATTTCCTTTATTTAGCCCCACACATCCAACAGGAACAGACTGAGATGTCCCAAGAGTCAGCTCCGTCTTCCCTCGGATCAGCTCCAAACAAGCTGCTGACAGTAGCACCAGTCCTGTTTCAAATCTTCATGAAAGACAGGGACAACAGCACAGGCAGCACCCTCAGCAAGCACAAAAACGATGCCAAACTGACTTGCCAAAACAAAGGAGGAAGTGATAGGGGCTCTAGAGTTTATTGTCAAACTTTCACTGCTAAGACTCCATCCAGTAAAAATATCATTGAAATATTTTTGAGTTTTTAAAACTGTGGCTCCTTTCCACTATCCCTTTTATTTGCTCTGTTGCCATCATGGATCTACTATTTTAGTCTCCCCAAAACCAGACCTGTTACATGAGTGTCAATGCAGACCTTCTCCAATGGAGCTGCTGGGAAGTTATAATTCAGATGATAACTGAAATCAATTTATCTCTTAACGTACTAATAATACAGTCTAAATACAAACTTCTAGATCTTCTGCATACAAAACACTGACATTACAAAGCACCTACCAAGAACTTGTCATCAGTTGCATCTAAGCAGTGAAGTGCTTACACATCATGTATTGGGTAAGGCTCCCATAAGAAATACAACAGCGTGTCCAGCCATGAGGATGAGCTCACTAAATGCTTGTGCAGACATTACTGGTTCTGCAGTGTGAGAAATAAAGGCTTCATTACCTACAGATACTACTGAAAAAAGCCTCCTCCTGCTCCTTTATGACTTGAGCTTCACAGTGTCAGTTCTTGCTGTAGCACCAACGGTTGTGGGGAACACCAGAGAAAAATGACTGAATAAAGACCTTGAAGAAAACGACAAATGTGGCACATACAGCAACAATGCCTGGAAACAGCTTGTTTTGAATCTTATTCTCCCCACAAAACACTAACATAACCAGTTAAGGAAACTTGCTCACCCAGCACTTTGCTGATGTTACGTACAGTTTACTTTTTCAACTCAAATGTTGTGTAGTCCTGAACTTGGACCTGGCACCACACTAGGGGCTTTAAATCTACACTGTCAGCCTTATCACATCACCATGGTCATCTTAAACAACAAGCCAGAGTTGTTTGGGTGAACTTACTGTACTCACTGTAAACATGAGCTGAGTGGCATTAATCATATGCCTAACCTTAAGTTATTTATTAATAAAAAACAGATGCCTATTCCTAAAAGTCTGCCCAAAATAAACATGAGGGCAGTGGCACATGGGTAATTCCAGCACTGACCAGTTTCAGCCAGCCTTCTGAAATTTCCTAATAATCTGAATTAAAAACAAGAATCAGCAGTTCTAGTACTTCTAGGTCAAAGTTTTCAGGGCCTGTTGGTTTAAACAGTGTGTCCATATTGAAAGCATTTTGCATTATCCTGGATTACCAGCAGAGTGGGGAGCAACTCATCACATGCATTTTGAAAACACAGACTCCAACTTTTCTCAAAACACTTCCTGAAAACTTGGGCTTTTCCTGCATCATTAACAATTTGCTATCGCCACCTAGGAATGGGCCCAGCTTATTACAACCTCCTCTGGGACTCCCACGACTCCCTTTGAGCCTCCAGTGACTCAACAGCTCCTTCCTCTACAAAATCCAGCAGAGTTTTAATAAATACTGCATCAGAACTTCCTGAAATCCCTCCCCACAGCTGCATCTGCAAATTCTCTGGACAGTTTAACCTCTGTGCCACTTGTACTTCTCAAGTACTGAAGTCACTGTTGTGACCTGGAAGGCAGAGATGAGGTGACACCCACATGCTCTTACAATGGCTGTCCCTGTGGGATAGGAGATCAGCCTGGACAAGGATGGTCTTCAAGAAGTGAGACAGCAGAAGTACAGGATGTGCACGGATCACACCCTGACTGAACAGCATTACCACTCTCCAACCACCTGCAAGCACAGACAGATGGAGATTCTGTTCACTCAGTACTCCTGAAAGGATTTTGTTTCCATTAAATTGTTCAGTCCTCTGTTAAGAACATATAAACACTCATATCATTCACTGTGTCCTGCAAGAAGGAGTTTGATAGAGTATCTGCAATCATTGAAAATGTGCCTCCTACTACTTGGATATATCCCATAGTTCTTGCATGAGAGAGGATGACAAATCCTCAAAAAGAAGATTTGGTGTCTTCATAACATACATCAGTATGCAGACCTCTGCAAAATCCTCATAATTATCCCTTTTCCAGGCTGATGACTCCTAACTTATTTAGCTATTTCCTGCTTTTCTGACCACCATCATCTGAACCTTCTCTGGAAGTGTCACTTGTGAGAATGGAGATGAAGGTGCCCCATGGAGAAGGGAAGCAGGCTGCAGTTGCTCTCTGCACTGCTCCCAAGCCCTCTACATGTTAATCCTAGCATTTTCCCTTCATTGTCCTTTTTACCACTGACCTGATGTTTCCATGAAGTCACTGTCATCACTCCAAAACGCATCACTGCTCTTGTGACAATGCTCCCTTTGCACAGATTTTCATGTGCATCTCCCACAGCTCCCCTCACCACCTCCAGCCTCACAATCCCCAGCAGCTCCAGCAGCCCCTCCCAGGATAGAGAGGGGCAGGCAGCTGCTCCTAAGAAAACCCTGGGAGAACCCACTCACTGACAGTTTGTGACTGGTAGCTCATTCCAACAAGGCTGTTCAAGGAACACCCATTCTGGTCTCTTGGTCACAGCCATGTCTAGAGCAATGGACACTCAGCACCTACATGCAGTTGTGACCAAGTCTAAAAACTCTCAAGTGCAAGTGCAGATTCCTCTCAAATTTCAGAAATCTGGACCAAATTGGAGAATGTGCTTGTTCTTATAAAACACAGGCCATGGACTCCTGATGGACTATACACTGCAGGCTGAAATCAAATGGCTGCAGGGTACAATTTACAGTTCTTTCCTTTTTTCCTTTCCCTTCCCCATCCTCTCTTCAAAAGCACAACATCATTTGAAACAAGGGAGACAGCAGAGAACAGAAAGGATCTGGCCACCTGGCCCATATGGCAAAGCAGAACCTCAAGGTCCTGACTCTAAGACTGGTCTCAATACAGCTCATTTTGAAGACAGCACTTTGAACATGCAAACATAGAATCACAACCACTACAGGTAGGACTTCAGCAGCTACTGAGCAAAAAGAGGTTAAATTTACATCCCTTTGAATTGAACCCTTCAACACCCAAACCCAAAATATACGTATATATATATACTAACAAGATGCAGAATAGCTCAGATTGTGCAATCAAAGAAAGGGAAGAAATAAAAACAAAACCCATGAGTAGGGCTTGGGAGGACATTTTTGTATGTTCAACACCAAACTGAAGCTCTGTTTGGCCTGCTAACAAGAAAAAGTTGATATGCTGACCTTCTTGGCAGACTACCTTGATCCCAACACATAGGGGAAAAAAATGAACAGCGAGTTCCATTGCTGCTGCTTGATAAACAGGTCAGAATTATGCAATGCCAGACACGTGGCAGAAAGGACTTGAGTTACTTCAGGACACAGTTACAGGACACACTGATAAACACTCACTCTTAAGCAAGCACTAGAGTTAGATGTAGTGTGCTACTACTGTCCCTGACTGTCCTATATCTGCCCCTGTTCAATCCCAGCTTTCCCATTCAACATCAGCCTTGCTTTACTCTTAAATCTTTGGTCAGATCTTGACTTCTGTACCTGAGATCAGAC